CGCATGTTAGTAAGATTGTCACAGGTATTATAGGACCTGAGAAATGAGAGAAAGCTCAGTTGGGTGAAAGTCATCCGGTCTCCCCCATGTGATCTTTCCTCACAACTAAACAACTACAATGGAAGGTTTCGTATCAACTGCTATTGCGGAGACTGAGTAAATAGCGAACATACAAGCAAGCGGATATATGTTTTTCTTTTTCATATTTATAAAGGGTGCTAAAATGTTTTTCGATAAATTAACAATCATGCGACTGACTGATCTTATCTTCAAACTCTACCGAAATACGGACGGAGTGGTTCTTTACACAACATTTCAGAACTATTTGATTAGTCTTTATGAAATTATCGCCAAAACGAACCGTTGGAGATAGGTTAGTCGATTCTATAGTGCACAAAACTCGCCTATATGTATTAAAATTCTGATCTGAATACCGGTGGTTTGAATAATTGCTTACAGTTCTAATGTGATCAAATATTTTCTACAGATTTGAGCTCGTGAGTGAGAGCATTTTGCATGGAAAAAATGTATGCATGATTTTTTTCCTATTTGTAAATGGGGAATAGATACAATACAGGTAGACATGCTTCACTGCCACACGTTCTTCGAAAAGAAAAATGCTGACAGCGAGCACATCGCTGCTCACTCTGTCGTTTTTTCGAAGCGTTTGTTTTCACTGATTCGATTTTTTCGCTTCGAGCGAAAAATACAAAAAAACAACACTGACTTGCACAACCAGCAAGTGACTACAATAAATTACGTTGTGACGTTACTGCGCCAAACCTTGAAAACTAAAGGGAGTTCTTGAAAGGTTTAGAAAGAACTAATCGCATAAATGGAGAGCCTGAATCTTCCATATGCCCATCCTGCGTTTGAAATTTCTGGGCGGTACTTAAATTTTTTACTCAGATGTTCCCAATGAACCCTGACCTTTTGAAGTTCTTATCCCTGTGAGTCTCTAGTGTCATTCAAAATTATTGTGAATCTATCCGGGTGACATTTCAAAATGTTTTCAATCATCTATTGAGCAAAAAGACCACAATAACTCTTACTAGTATGCTCAAATATACTCTTACAATGGTATTTTCTCGTCCAGTGCTTTTCGAAAATATTCAAGTGCTTCGGAATGCTGACCTATGTTGACATAAGAAGTTTCAATATTGCCATAACCATCAGCTATCAACTAAGTTCAAGTGATTTTCTTGAAGGTCATGCCATGCTCTTCCATGCTATGAAATCGCTTTTGAGTGTCCATCAATTCCATCATAAACCAAACTGGTACTACTAACAGAATTTGTCAAATTGATATTGCACTCTGTAGGAGTGGTTTGCTTCAGTTGAATAGATCTCTTGTAAAATCCCAATGCTTCATCACAACCTCCATTTCCACAACATGCTTAGCTCGATCGTTTATTGATTCTTTGATTCATCTTTCGTAAATTTCTTTTGCTTTATTGAATTGAACAGTTCTGAGCATTATCGTTGACTTAGAGCTATCATCTAGTCAGACCTAAAATGGGATACATGTGGGGTACAGTATTATGCGCTACGGGGTACAGTACTTTTTCATGATTAACAATAGAATTGACATCAAGAAATGCATTTCATAAAGTAGCTTTTTGCAAAAAGGCTTTTTTCACTGTTTTCCTCTGTGCTGAAATTAGTCTTCGGGCTCTAGTTTTTATGTTCGAAACGATCAATCCCAGAATACATATTGTTTTCACTATGTATTCGCTCAGAAAGACAAGTTCCCTTAAAGTCAAGGACATAATCAGAAATTTGTTTGGAGAAATCGACTACAGGAATAATTTGATAGGCGAAAAAAAAATTAGAGACATCGATAACTTTTCAAAATGTTTTTGAAAAGTCCAATATTTTGATTCGAGTGGAGATCAACCCCTCTGATCTTCTCAGAAAAGGTTGAACTTAAAGTATGTCTTCTCTAGTTGCATTAACTAATAAACATATTTTACATAGTAATATTTCTAATTCCTCTTAGAGCCAGACTATCTTACTTACTTATATGTCGATGTGAAGCTATTATCATGATGTTAACTTCACATCGATTATATATATTCAAGGACGTCAGTTGGATTTTCCTCAGGTAGTACTTGTTTACATAAATCAGTCAAGCGTGCTACACCGAAAAAAAAAGGTGTTTTACCAAGCCAAAAAAGCAATCGGTCGGTGGGCACAATCGCTAAACCTCACATGGCTTGGTCGCAAAAAGGTTTCGTATCGACCCTTTACATGATCGATGATAAAAAAAAGTTTCGCACATCAGGTTTCGTACGAAACCATTCCTGGGAAAAATCTAAAGGTTCCGTAAAAAAGGTTTCGCACGAACCCTTTCCCAAAAATATTTTCAAAAGGTTTTTTCTGAGGGTTTCCATATGCCATACCTCTGGAGAATTTCCCACCACTGACGCCCTTGGTGAGTGCGTAATCCTTTTCTATAAGAATCTTCATCTGTCTGATCCTGCCCAGTACGATAAGACGCCAGCATAGTAGAGTATTTCGCTAGTTCTTCCTGCGAAATCCATATTTACACCACCAGGCAGCTGATCCTCGACGAGCTAGAAGGTTTATACATAGATGAAATTGTTTTGAGTCCTATTCAGGCATGTCATGTACGATATACACAAGGAACTGGAAAGTTAAAAATGTTTCGAACTGCTTCAATTCAGTTCTCACGCTTACTTTTACTTAAGTAGCTTCTAGAAACATTGATAACTTTCCAGTTTCTTGTATATCATATATGACATGTATGAATACAACTTAAATCAATCTCGTCTATGTATAAAGCTTCTAGGTTGTCGAGGATCAGATGTCTGATGGTGTAAATATGACTTTCACAGGAAGAACTTGTGAAATACTCTATTGTGCTGGCGTCTTATCGTACTGGGCAGGATCAGACAGATGAAGATTCTCATGGAAAAAGATTACTCACTCACAAGAACGCCTTACCTACACCGTTCGCAGAATTGCCTATACTACTCACAGCTGAACATAGACTCACTCAAACAGCTATGTAAAATAAAAATTCCTACTTTTCTCTCGTCCGCTTGATCGCGCTTCTCCATCACTAACAGACTACTGGCAACCTGAAATAATTCTAAAGCACAAACACAGGTATTCGCTGACAAGAAGTAGTTATATTTCATTCGCGCATTCCCCAAACATATAACCTAAACAGCGAAGAATAATACAAGTAACGCAACGTGAGCGTTGCTAAACCCTCTACTGAAAGGAAAACTTCCATTTCATGAGTATTAATCATTTTTTTCTAATAGATAGTTTTATAGGCTATACTCTAGTGAAAAAAATAGCTCTTAAGTATGTACCGAATTATACGACATTTTCTTGAGGGTCAGGAAACAGCTATCATAACTAGTTTCAAACTGGCTAAAGTTTTCATCAGATGGCTTAACAAATTCTAAATGATTCAATGACGAATCAAACGAATTAATTGAAATCACATATAAATTAATGGAAATCTATATGGATCAATGCAATTCCTAGTAGTGAGTAAACAGCTACCATAACTAGTTTCATCCTTGTTGAAGGGAATCTTCAGTTGGCAAATAATCTCAAAGATTCAAAAGAGAATCATATCAAGATTATGCTATAACTGCTATATATATGTGTGTACACTGATAAAAATTTTCGTAAAATGATAAACCCTCCAAAAAGGCTTTATAACTGAAAAATTCGTTTATCAACGTGATTTACCCCTTGATCAACCCTTTTTTCTTGATAAACCCCAAAAAGGTATATTATCCGTTGCAAACTGATCAACCCTCAAACTCAGAGTTTCCCAAGCAGACAAGAATTACCAAAAACGCGTGTTCACGCCGAAAAATCTCGTTTTTTGAGTGATTACACGCGTGTAAAACAGAATGGGCGTGAAAACACTAAGATTCCGATTGTTTTTGGCAAAGAATTACAAACTCTATCATTTCTTAGTATATAATCGCATAGAAAACCGATATTATTGCCGTGTACACACTGACTTTCCCAATTGTGCGTGTTTTAAGTACAAATTTGCAGTTTTAAGGCGTTTTCACGCCTATTTTCTGTTTGAGATTTATCGATATCTAATAATTGACATGGATACATTGACTAATCATAATTTTGAAGCGTTTACACGAAAAATATATGCAATTGTTTTATTGACCTGAAATCCATGCCGTGATATCTACCACACTATAAAAAAACACATGATAACTGTGAAAATTTTTGCTGTCATCTTCGATTCAGATTACATAGTGTTTTAACGGATAGAGAGTTTCATCGCGAATATTTTTACCTGACTACATGCACAATATCCAGAAGTATTCGTCGTTTAAACGATTTTATTTGAAGTTATAATCCTAAAAAGTTACTGAATATTCAGCAAAAAATATTTTAGTAAGTTTTGTTTCCCGGTTTTTCGGACTTTTATTTATGACGTTTTCACGCGTTTTTGACGATTCTTGTCTGCTCGGGTAATTGTCGGCTATGAAGGAAAACAAAAATCAGAAAGTTTGGTATAGCTGAATCCAGTGCAAATAGAATATTCCGGGAAAGCCTCGGAGTTGGGAGGCGATCATATATAATGCCAGAGGCTGAGCCCCCTCAAGATGAAAATCTCTGGCGCCGCCTCTAGTTGTATTGCTCTTTCTCGCGTAATACATTGGAAATATTCTTCAGAATAAAAAACAATTTTATCGAGGAAATCTAGATTTTTTAGCATGATTATATGTAAGGAAAAACGATAGTTTTATCTTCGCTTTTTGTTTCCAACTTGATCAAATATAAAGCGTATCAGAGGAAATACATAGGGAAAATGCATTTATTCAATATTGATAGGAGTAACAATATCATAGCAGGAACAAACGAATTTGTTTTACGACAGTAACTTTAAATACCTTTTTTTATCAAAAGCAAACGAAAGAAAAAGAGAGAAATTAATAGAGTAAAATATCAGTGATAAAGTTAATTTTAATCATTAAAACAAAATGCGTTCCAGGCTCTATTTGAGCCTTTTGATTCTTTCATTCTGTATTTCTGTTCAAGCGGATTTGAATTTATACAATACAGATGAAATAAATAATAATGGTATTGATTTATTACAATATAATTGTTTACGTATTAGCATTGATGCTTCATTAGAACGTTATTCTAGTTTGCTTGAGATGTTATCTTTTTGTATGAACGAAGAAACATCGAGAATTTATGTCGAACCTGAAATATCTCTTTCAAATTTTACCTTTGCTGAACTTTCCAAGCGCAATGTAACTGGTGAACAATTATATTATTGGTCAACACCAATTGATGCTATTGAACGCTATGAATTATATTTAATATCAAATAATGAAACGATGGGAAACGAGATCTATTATAATTGTACATTACCGAGATTTGGTCCAATATGCCAATATGAATTGGATCACTTTGATATAAATAGACATTCTAACTTTTATATTCAAAGGTTTTATGATCGTCTAGGTTCCTCTTCAAATAATTTAACTTGTTACATTCATATAAAATGCGATCGTGGTCCATATCCATCTTGTTTAGATTGGAGTGAAATATGTGATGGAATAATTAACTGTCTTGATTATCCATTTGATGAAGAACATTGTTCGCAAATAGATATCAATGACGCAACATATAGACGTGACAATCAGGCTAAAGGCGGATCGGGGTGGCTTAATCAGTTGCCAACTGCTACAAACGAAGATGTTAAATGTAATTATTCACCATTATCTAGTTCTTGTTGGATAGAGCGCCATGATAAATTACTGGAAATTATGTTTTCTATCAAAGATAACTCAACATCGGACGATTGTTGGTTAGCATTTAGATGTATCACTCCATTGTTATCTTTACTGTATTTAATTTGTGATGAATTTTGTTTACGTGATCAATGTATTCAAATCATTGGAAAGAAATGTCCACCGATGTTTCACATGCCAATTATCCCGATTTTGTATCCAAATATTTATCTTGCTTATAAAAAAATTGATACAGAAATGTTTCTCGATCACCAATTTCTAAATACTTATATTTGTTATGATAATAATTCTTTGTATGATAATTATTTTCAAAATCATTCAATGATTCTATTTAAGAATAGAAAATGTTATCGTTTCAAACATTCTTTTTCTCTTTTGAGTCCTGATTCTTTTTATCATTATTTGAACTTAATATATGATACATTTTATCCTTTCAATCAACAACTTTCAAATTCATTTTCTTCGTCATCTAAAAAGAAAATAGTTATAGATTCACATATGACATCATTTAGATCTATTGTCTTAACCAACGAAAGTTCTTATGTAGGTTCATGTCCTTTGATTACTTCGATTCCAACATTGTTTTGGGCAAAAAAAACTTTTATACATGATGGTGAATATATTTATTACCTTTGTTTAGATGAAGAGAGTATGGTTTCAAGAAAAAATTATATTAGATTTCCGTTGATATGTAATGGATTTGATGAATTATCACCAACAATGATTGATGGACGAAATCAAACTGATGAAACTGAATGCAATAATTGGCCGTGTAACACCATATATACACGTTGTGATAGATTTTGGAATTGTTTAAATGGTGAAGATGAAATTGGATGTGATGAATCACCACTATTAAATTGTTCGTCTAATGAGCACATTTGTTTTTCATCGTCTACAAAGAATTTAATATGTTTAAATATTGACAAAACAAATGATGGTCAAATTGATTGTCTTGGTGCTCTCGATGAACCAACAACATGTCAAAGAAATTCTCAATATGTCACAAACAAATTTTATTGTACACGAAACAATTCAAGGATGTGTATCTTGGGAACCAATAATTGTCACACTGCCGATATAGTTGATAGTGGCATGATGAATTGTGAAGAATTCCATTTTCTATCATTAAATAGAACTTCTGAAGATCGGTTACAATCTAAAAAAGATTATCAATCAATGCTTTGTAAAATGTATATAAAAACTCTTCAGCCTAGATTAGCCTTTTCATTAGGTAAAACAAAAGAATCAACTACAAATTTATTGATTTCAACTAAACAATCTGTCAATAAATTGTCTTTTGATAGATTAGCACATTTATGTCATCGTGGACTTTCTTTACGTGTTTGGTCGAATAAGAATGAATCAAAAGTCGTATGTCTTTGTCCACATGCTTATTATGGTTCGAAATGTCAATATCAAAATCAACGAACTAGTTTTTCAATTAAATTTCAGTTATTATCATTTATGAGAGAAATTCCATTTGAAATAATTATTTTTCTTATTGAAAATAATAATCAAAGAATTATTCATTCATATGTACAATTTATGTATGTGCGTATTAGAGATTGTAGAACAAAATTTGGTGCCCATTTACTTTACTCAACACGATCAAAAAATCTAACTCAAAATTATTTCATACATATTGATATTTACGATAAAACTTCATCAATTTATCATGGAAGTTTTTTATATCCAATTATAAATTCATTTTTACCTGTTCATCGTCGAAATTTAACGATTGATATTCCTTCATTAAATCATAAAATCCAATATTGTTCAAAAAAACATCATTGCATTCATGGCAAATGTATTAAATATTTAAATACTGAACAAGATGCGAATTTTTGTCAATGCGATCCAGGATGGTCTGGACAATATTGTACCATTTCACATTTAATTCATTGTAAATGTTCACCCGATTCAACATGTCTTGGTATTGATGCGCATAATCGATCGATATGTCTTTGTCCATTACATAAAATTGGCTCTCGATGTTTAATTACTAACCGAATATGCGAAAAGAATGATAATTCAACATGCCATGGTCATGGCCAATGCATTCCAATGGATTTACATAGAAGAATAATATATCCATTTCATTGTATTTGCTCGAAAGGTTTTAGTGGTGGTCGTTGTCAAATTAAAGATAATGAAATACATTTATTGTTTGAAAAAAATTTTTTTTTATCGTCAGCACTATTTATTCATTTTATTCAACTTGATGGTCCTAATCCACCAATATCAAATACAATTGTCAAAACAATTTCTTCTCTTGATAATTCACTTATTATTTATTGGTCTGATCAATTTAATCTTGTTTTTATCGAAGATCTTAAAAGGAATTATTATTTAATTACAATTCAAAAAGATGATATTGAAGGACAAAAACTAATAGAACAAGTTAATTCATCAAATCGTTGCTCACATATCAATGAACTATTTAATAAAACCATTTTAGGATATTCTCATCTTCAACGTATGAAATATTATCATTTACCATGTCAAGACTCTTTATTAAATCTTTCATGTTTTTATGATAAAGTTCAATTATGTTTTTGTTATAATCATTATGGCAAACGTTTAACAAATTGTTTCGAATATAATCATACAAAGATATCTAATTGTCCAAATGATGGTATATGTCAAAATAATGGAAAATGTTTTCAATCTAGATCAGGATGTCAGAAGAAATCTGAATGTTTTTGTGATTCATGTTTTTATGGAAAACGATGTCAATTTAGTACAAATGGATTTAGCTTATCACTTGATAATATTTTAGGTTATCATATTGAATCATCCACTAATATTATTAATCAATCAATTATTATTAAAATAAGTATTATATTAAATATAATATTTATAATAGTAGGTTTAATTAATGGTATTTGTACCATGATAACATTTCAAAATAAAAGCTTACATGAAATTGGTTGTGTTCTATATTTATTATGTTCATCATTAACAACATTGATTATAACAGTTTTATTAGGATTGAAATTTTGGATATTTTTTTACGCACAAACATCTTCAATAACAAATCGATTATTTTTACAAATTCAATGTATTTCATTAGATTATTTTCTTCGAGTTTTTCTTCATATAGATCAATGGTTAAATGCATGTATTGCCTGTGAACGAGTTATGAATATAATTAAAGGAGTTCATTTTAATAGGAAAAAAAGTAAACAAGCAGCTAAATTAGGGATAATTTTAGTTTTCATTTGCAATGTTTTAATATTTATTCATGAACCAATTCATCGACATTTAATCGATGAATATGATGAAGAAGAAAATACAAAACGTATATGGTGTATTGTTACTTATTCATCTAATTTACAAATTTATAATACAATTATTAGTACATTTCAATTTTTTGTTCCATTTCTAATTAATTTAGTTTGTGCTTTTATTTTGATTACGAAAAAATCGTTGAACCAAGTAAATATTCAGAAAAAACAAAATCTTAAAGATATTTTACGCAAAAATTATCAAGAACATAAACATTTATTTATTTCACCTGTTATATTAACTTGTCTTGCAATACCACGTTTAATTCTTACTTACATATCAAAATGTATGGAATCAAGTAATGATTCATGGTTATTTCTTTGTGGATATTTTATTTCATTTATTCCAGCTATGTTAACTTTTATCATTTTTGTTTTACCATCGAAATTTTATCAAAAAGAATTTTCCAAATCTATTCGTCGATATCAAAATGCTATACAACGATGTTACCGTATTTCATCATAAAAAAGAACAAAGAATGGAAGTATTATTACTATAATGTTCTTATATTAACTTAATTTTCGATGCGAATTATTTCAAAATAGAGAACAATAAAGCAAAATCCGCAATAAAATTTCGCTTAGCTTTAATTTTAAAGACAATACGAAAAATGAATGTGATTATATCGCCTTCAAAAAAAAATACTATGTGCTTTTGTGATATTGATCATCTAGAATGTATGAAATTTAAACTTCCTTGCAAAAAAGAATCTCGCAAATATAAATTGTCTGCTTGCTTGTGTATTCCTACTTCATTTATTGATTCAAATGAAAATTGAAAATAAAATCGATTTTTTGCTTAAAAACTTACCGTATGAAAATCTAGATGCAGAAATTCGAATTGATGGTTAATTTTAATCAATAAATAACTGTTTCAAATGAATAATTAATTGATAATTGTAGTCAATATTATTAATGAGAATCTGTGCATACTGTACGGTTGCTTTGCCTCTCACTAAAATTTCATAACTCTATTTTTTACCTCGTTTCCATGAGAGATAATCAAGTATTTCTTTCTGTAAATGTTCAATTATTTTATAACTATATCATACTATATTCTTATTCTTCACACCCTCTCTTCTTTTCTATCGGCTTGTCCAAGCGTAACGGTGTGACGTTTTTGAAACACTATTTTTTGAATATCTCGCAAACTATAAAGGCTAGAAGGCCTGTTCAAACGTCATTCGATGCAGCTTGACATACTCTATATATGTTAAAAAAATGAGTCGTTTCCATCAATGACTTCAATTTTTAGAACGATTTTATCATCGCGTAACGGCGTGACATAGAAGGGCCCTCACGCTCGATTCTTCGTAATTAATCCTTACTTTCCTGCAAAGCTCTAAGAGGAAATAAAATTTGCTAAGAACCATATTTGTAGAGCTTTTCAAGCGCTTCACGATGCTAAGAAGAAAATCCTTGTCTGTTTTTTCCTTGGCTAGTAATTGCCAAAATACAAACGTAACGGTATGACATATTTCGTAACGGTGTGACACACTTTTTTGTCAGCCATTTTTCGAGTACTTAACTTTATCAGAATGACTTGATTTTTTCAAGAGTGAGCTCTTTTGGATAGCTAAATGTTCGTTAAAAAAACCAGCTTGATCCGTCGAAGTGGGAGCTCAGGATCAGGTCAGAAAGTTGAAAATGGCACTCAAGATTGTAAAGTAACTATAATAGCTAAAGTGTTCAGCATATATCTCATTTTGTAGAGAATTAAATTCTGCATCGAATGGCATATTTTAACACATCTTTTAGAAAACTTGGTCTGTCAAAATAATTAAAATACGATTTTTGACCGGAGAAAAGCTTCGTTTTGGTTAGGAAAATCAAATCTTTTTACAAAACGAATATCAGATTCATAATCAGCGTTAAAAACTACATCTAGCAAGCTATTCAAAACTATCTAACTCGAAAAACAAAATTTTCAAAACTTGATCAGCAAAGTGTCACTTTACGTGGACAAGCCGATCTGTTATTTCGTGTACTACAATTTCATATAGTCACATGATGCACTATTCTAATTCATTTATAACATTACTTTACTACTAGTAACGCTCGTCGAGGCAGACTCGCTATACCCTCGACTGAACCACTGACTGAAAATGCAATAGTCCTATATGCATTTTATGCAAAAAAAGACAGAAGTATAACCTTTGAAGGGGTCCCCAGAAACTGATCTTTATTCGCCTCATAGTCTTCAAAAGAACCAAAAGATTACTTGTGTTCCTTTTAATTATTCGATATTTCTGACTGACAATTACTCTCCACAGGTAGCAGAAGTTCGCTACAAATGATTATTATGGATTTGCACCTTACGCACATCCTCCTTTTTCTAAAAGAAAGATCATTTCAGTAAGACCAAATGAGAATCGGTATAGATTCCGCATTCGAACGTGTCGGATTGTTGATACTTTGGTAACTGGCTAGATTACCAGGCGCAGCTCGTTGTTCGTCGGCGCCCCACAGAGGCGTCACTCACAACTCGCCGCTCCAAAGCTGTCCCTATCTATCATATAATTACCCGTGTGCTACTAAAAAGTATCGAAAATTAATTAGCATTCCATCAGCATCTCATCGATAAAATTATCCGCGTCCGAACATTTAAGGCTATCTCCTTAATTAAAAGGCTTAAAGGCCTACAAAAACTTTCAATATATCGAAGCTCAGCATTTAAGATTGCTCTCCAGTATGTAACTAGTGAATGAATGTATTTTTGGATTACTGGCCTTTAGTATGCGACAGTCAACCGAGTGTGTTTTTACTTTTTCGTAATCAACTCTTCTATGTAGCCCTCCTCTCAGGCGCGGTTAAAATGTTTACTTCATTTCTGTCACGTCCCTGTCCCTTCACCCGCCATCCAGCTAACCTCGGGCCTCAGGATCCCTCCCAAACGACGTTTGATGAAGTTGTGAGCATTTTCGAAAAAATAATTTTTTTGACCCTGACACAAACAGACAAACATACAAACTATTTTTTTTCGTATGACCCTCCTTTCAGTCGAGGGAACATAGGAAGAAATAAGTGTATACTTGTCTATCTAATTGGCCTCCATGTAGCCAAGTCATTTGAATGATTAGTCGGACAGTACACGCCATAACAGGGCCATATATCAACCTAAAACAAAAGACTGACTACTCAAACTCGAGGATTTGGAAGGAATCAGACTCATAGACTATATCGACTTGGCCGGCCATGCTGACTAGTCAATCGCGATGGTTCAAGAGATATCGGGTGAAACCCCCAGGCCTTCGTTTAGGAATTAATGGTTCTGGAGGTCCGGTACGGAACCTCTGATGACTTCGAAAGAGAGAAATGGTTCAGAAGCTCTAGCACGGAACTCAGGAAGGTTCGGCATCCGAAAAGCGAAACCTTAGCCACCCTAGTGATCTACGTAAAGGCTCGGTATCTCTAATACGAAACCCTACATGGTTTCGTAAGTCTGTTTCGAAACCTTTACGTGCTCTACGGAACTATGACAGGTTTTGTACCAGACATACGAAACCAAAAAAGTTCAGTATAAACGCTGCTGAACCTTTCAATGGTTTGGCAATAACAGCACAAAACCTATTTGGTCCTCAAAACCTAAAAACCATTCTTTATTTACGCTACGAAACCATTTTGGTGGTGCCAAACTTAAAATGGTTTGGTGGACTACCTTTTTTTTCCAGTGCAGAACATTTCCCTCAGCTCTGTAGATGAAAGTCCTCCCAGATCGATCATTCCGGCGACTGGATCCGTTGAAATCTGAGTCGGTTCCGGTACAGGTCTTCTCGATTCCGGCATAGTTTTCGCCGATTCCAGCAAGTTCCGGCAGGTTCCTTGCCGCCGGATTCCGGCCGGAATTGCATAGGAAATATCCGATCAATTCCTGACCGTTTTCAGCTGGAAGTTTGCAGGAAACGGCCGGGAAATGAGTGGAGCCTACGTTTGAACTTCCGGCCGGAACCGACCATGCCATAATAACCTGGGCTCATATGCGTTGTTTTTGTTGAAACAACAATAGTCTGCAGTGGTGGAATAACTACCCTTATCACAACACCAGGGAAAGTAGCACTGGCCGGTACTTGTTGGCGTATGTTCACTAGTATCTTAACCAGTGATATTGCTGATAGACATCAGTGTTCTAACGGCAGCTGGTTACAATATTTCGTTCTTCTGAAAAACTTGACAACAGGAAAAATGCCACATATTGTTCAGGATGCAATACGAATAACAATAGCACTGGTAGTGCTGGTGGCGATGAGGAAGATGAAAGAAATTTTAATGGAAAAAAAGCAAAGAAGGTTTATTTATCTTTAATTATTTATTTTTCAGTTAATGACAGCAATATACACAATCAGTCTCTGAGGTGTCGTCAGTTTTGATTATTTTATAGTTTAGTGAATGTAAAACTTTCATGAAATATTTCAATAGTAAAATAGTGACTTCTTGAAACTTAATGATTATACTCATATAAGTATCTTTTTACTTTTTTCACTATTTCTATTCATTTATTCTAGTTCTAGTAGACGAGCTTGACGCCCCTATAAAAAGTTACTCTCTTGGGCCTGGAGGCCGGGTGGAAAGTTTATGTGCAAAAGTTGAATTTAGTCATTTACGTATAGGTTCAAGAGTTAGTTGTGGATATACAGAAGCGTAAAAAGATTTATTAGATCTTTAGATGGATTTTTTGAAGGAGGAAAATGGCCAAAACCACTATAATACATATGTTAAGATTCGAATGGAATTCTTCTATAACGAAAGCAATAAGAATAGACCAGTTGGTTTCAGATACCTATGCGAGTACTCCTATGGCAATGTTGAATACCTTAGTTTTTATAATAGCCCATAAAAGACTGGATTTTACTTCTTTTTTTGCTTATATTCTGTTTAAACCTACAAACAAACTTATTCTGAGAAGTGTGTGACGATATCAGCATGTGGGTGTTTGTCTGTTCAATACAATAACAATAACCACATTCTTACACTTCCATTAATTAGTATGAATTCATATTTTACATCTGTATTCAGCATTAAATGAAAATAAATATTCTTCATTTAACAAATTCATGTTTCATTTATTTACAATCATTTACGGAGTATTTGAACACCTATCTGAACATGTAAACAGTTTTGAAAAGACTTTTAAGAATCCAACACAAACGATCAGCTTTTTTTTATTTGACATATTCTTCCAATTGGCTTCCAATAGGATGCATTATTGTCCCCACCACAATTCAAACCCCACGACACACACATATCTTCTGCTAGCGCACGATGCTCATCGCAGATATCATCATTATTTAACGGGATTTTAAACATGGGCTCATACCAAGCTCGTGATATTGCACAGACAACTTCTCGTCCGCCAAAATATGATAAAACAAAATCGTAAAACCGCTTCTGATTCTCATAATCTGGATGATCAACTGACGGCAAACCAGAATATTCCAAGACTTTTCCATTAACACTAATCCAAAGAGGAACTGTCGGATCTTTTCCATCATGTTTAGCCAGATCCTCATACGTATAAAATACATTATCTGGAACATCAGCTATCGTTTGATATGTATCTGCCGATTTTCGAGGAATGACAGTTTGTTTGTTTTTCAACCGATTGATATAGGATGACCGTACGCCAAAGTACTCGCAGCCTTTGATAATAATATCTAAGTAACGTTCGGATGGGATACCAATAGGTCTTTCTTGCTGTCCATTTGGAGTCATTTTATAGACGTAAACGAGATGTGAACGTTCTTGATAATCAGTTATAGGAACAATGATCTTTGTATACATGTGTTCAACTTGATCTAAGCGATTCATTTGTTCGATTGGCACCAAATGCACAACGCCATCAAATTCTTCGCCTTCACAAAAATCAATATCTGCCATGCCACTACGATCACGAAAAACTAATCGGTGGTCAAAACATTTGGCGGGATAAGACATCAATGGTGTAATATCACGTAAATGTAATGAAATGGGATTGATCATACTACCAATTGCTAAGTACCATATGTAAACATGTTGATGATCGTCAATGAAAGGTTTTCCCGGATTATCAAACGCAAGGATTTGTTCGAGATTATGACTTTCAAACTGTTTTGTTCGTTGAAGAACTCTTTCACAAGACTTTCGAAATGGAATGTCACTTGAATGTGAATTCAAATTACAAAATAATGTTGCAGAAGAATGATCAATAGACATGATCAGATCACGAAGATTTAGCTAGTTGATATATCAATAGAGCACGTCTTTTTATACACATCGGTAATTGCGCAAATGTTCGTCATATTGTGTTGAGATGATTATCATCAGTGACGAAACTGACGTAATAGAGCTGAGCAAGAATGTCGAAATAGTACAGGTATTCAGTTCTTTTTACGATTGCCTTGTGTTTTGAATATCTATTTATAAATTGTTTTCTTCTGTTTGCGTCATTCTTGTTTTTTATCTATTCGATACGAAAAAGTAAAGACAAAATTTATCGGTTGATTAACACACAAACCCATATCAATAGAAACTTTAATATTCTTGTACTTGATCACTTTTACGGTATATTTGTCATGTATTCATCACCCACGAACAAACTAAGCATTGCTAATCAATGCATTTTTCTCATCGATTCTTTCGAAATGAAAGGAAAGAACAATGTCCTTCGTTTGTGACTGATCATTTTACCTACGCAACGTCGTCTTGATTGACGTCACGTGAGAAAACATCTCGTTTAGAGATGACAATCTGTATACTTTCAACAAGTGGAATGAAAATTTCCTCCAACGACAGACGCACCAATTAAAAGTGTGATTTCATTAGTCAATCGTTCTGATCATTACATCGATTGACGCTTCTAATCAGTGATGATGATCGTAAGAAAATTTCCACACAATAGTACTAATTAAAAACTCAGTAAATCACGATCTAATCCAATAAAATTCCATCTGTCGTTGAGAATCGGCCGGAATTCTCAATCGGAAATCGAATATTTCACAATCGGCTACTCCTTGATCAAAGTGTATACAACACTGTCTTTTTCCGAATACCTGCTGTGGAAACAATGTTCTTTTCCATCTCGTTAAGATGATTGATCATTCCTGTCGAACATAATCTCTCTTTCACATTTTGTTTATGTTATTCTTTAAAGAAAAAACATTGCACATGGAAATTGTTCGATGACATGATTTGAATGTATGCTTTTTAATATTGACAAAACTGATCATATTCAATCGANAAAGTGTATACAAAACTGTCTTTTTCCGAATACCTGCTGTGGAAACAATGTTCTTTTCCACCTCGTTAAGATGATTGATCATTTCTGTCGAACATAAATTTCTCTTTCACATTTTGTTTATGTTATTCTTTAAAGAAAAAACATTGCACATGGAAATTGTTCGATGACATGATTTGAATGTATGCTTTTTAATATTGACAAAACTGATCATATTCAATCGAAGCATCTGCAACGCGATTGAAATCGTAGCTTAATCCGAGTGTGCAAGTGTTTTCTTTATACAAAAAAAAAGAAGTCCGAATTGTTGACATGTCGATGATTATATTAAAATTTTCTTTAGCATAGAAACACTTTACGCACATCTGTCCAGCTCAAGAATGTTCTCAATTGTCGTTAGTCAAGTGTAGAGTGATGAAGAGTGGATAGGAAATTCAATTTCATATTTTGTTTTGCATTCATTAAGATGCTGATGACGTTGGTCATAGTCGATGATTGATCTCCAAACACACGAACAGACTGAAATCGAAATGAAAAAGTCAATTGTTTATGTTTCCTCACAGCTCAGTTATCTCCAGGATATCAATTGGTTTAGCTTGTTATTCAACATTGTCACTTTTGAGTATACCTGTACTGAGATGATCACATCATAGATCAATAACGGCCGATTTTCTTTTTACTTATCTGATCAGTCAACAACTTGCTTTCCGTTCGTCGTTTCAAGACAAGATTTTCTAAAATAAACAGATACAATTTCCTTCTTCTTTCTTCGCGCTCACGATTCTGCCACAGTTCCAGTTCCGGTACTCTGCTTTCATGTTTGTTTGATGAATGAATATTTTTTCCCTTCGTATATTGAACACCAATCGAAACGAATGTCGAACATCAAAAAGTCTCGTTAATGAGTAGAACTCGTCACCGAGCACATATGTATATATCTTCACTTTCGTTCATGTCTACATGCCAGAAAGATACAATGTATGTACTGAAGAAGACAGACTTCTCTCCAAACAGGTCGGTTCTCATTGTTCACATTTCTTTTATTCTTCAGTCTATTGACTTAATTCTGAAGTGGATTCTTTTCGTTTATACAGTTCAAGAGTTGATCAATGTTGAATTGAAATNGAGTAGAACTCGTCACCGAGCACATATGTATATATCTTCACTTTCGTTCATGTCTACATGCCAGAAAGATACAATGTATACACTGAAGAAGACAGACTTCTCTCCAAACAGGTCGGTTCTCATTGTTCACATTTCTTTTATTCTTCAGTCTATTGACTTAATTCTGAAGTGGATTCTTTTCGTTTATACAGTTCAAGAGTTGATCAATGTTGAATTGAAATCGATTGATACTGAACCCAGAAGAAGTAAATCTGCCTTGGGAATACGTTTCTGGGAGAGAAACGGAGAAAATAAAAATGATAATATTATCTTTTTTCTTGGCAAAAGAGAAATTACTCAATGGTTTCCTCGTTTGGATTTCAAGTGCCAAGGTTTCATTCAATCGAATCAAAATTATAAAAACCCGAGAGAGAGAGAGAGAGAATTCTTCTGCTTTATTCTGATTGCTATCGATTATTGAATTCAATTTTCGACACTCTCTTGCCCAACGGGTGGAAAGTGACCTTCTTCTCTTTCTCTCTCTGTTTCTCCTCCTTCTCTCTTTCTGTTCCCATTCCATTCATCCATTGAGTTTTTTTGTTTGTTCATAAAAAGCAACTTGAAGATTGATAGATGAACAAAAGATTGACTACTGTCTACATATATTGGACAAATCAATGATTGAATACCTTATGTGCAAAGTAAGAAAGCAATTGTCCGAGTATAGTGGGCAATTTGTTAGCAACGAAGCTTGTTTGGAGATTGAAAAGCAACTTCAACCGGAAAATTTTCGAATGCTGACTTTGTTTTTCAGATTGATCATGTTCGTTCTCATCAGTTTTCTCCTCCTCGTTTCATCGACTTCCAGTCATACAATCTTCAAATATACCATTGAAGAAAAATCACCTCTCGGTACCATCGTTACGGACTTTTCTCAGGAATTGAGATTGAACACATCAGCGTTCTTTCGTATTTATGAATTATTACCATTCAACGAAAACTTCTTCGCGGTCGATAACCAAACCGGCCAGTTGAAAGTTCGATCTCGACTCGATCGTGATCAAATGTGTTCCAGACAGCAATGCTCATGCGATTCATGTGAAGTCATTCTTCAACTTCTCGTTGATATTCAAGGAAAAAGTCTCTCGAAGCTTGTTCAAATCAAAATAAAAGATCTCAATGATCATTCACCGAATTTTCCTCCTCAATCTATCATACCGATCATTCATATCAAAGAAAATGTTCCTCTAGGCTATCGGATCGTTCTACCCTACGCAAACGATCCCGATGAAGGTACGTTGTTGACACTCTAGAAAAGCAAAGCCCTCGAGCAAAGTAACTCATCGATATGTCTTTCTTTGGTTTAGGATCCAACAGCGTCCAGTCTTATCGGTTACATGGACTAAATTCCGATGATTTCGATATTGATTTCTCTTCATTTGACATCCCTTATTTAATAGTTCGTTCTTCACTCGACCGTCAACGTCAATCATTCTATTCATTGACATTAATTGCATCGGATCACGGTGACCAATCACGTTCCGATTCCATTCAATTAGACATTCGCATTGTTGATTCCAATGATCCCATTCCCACATTCTTGCAAACAGTTTACAATGTTGATATACGAGAGGACACAGTTATTGGCACAACGATCTTAAATATTGAAGCTATCAGTGATAAAAACGAAAAGATTTTCTATGAACTATTAACTGAATCTCCATTCATTATCGATCGTTTAACTGGACAAATTCAATTGAGCAAAGCATTGGACTATGAAAGAGAGAAATCCTATCGATTGACAATCAAAGCCTACGAACAATCGATTCCAACTTATGCGAACATTTTCATTCGTATCATCGATGTCAATGATAATCCTGTTTCCATAAGAATTTTAGTCGAAGGTAAGGCTATGATTCATTTGTTTCAAAACGAAAACTAGTTTGTCATTAAGGTAACACCACATTACAACATAAGGAGAGTGATAAAACTGTTCTTTTCACACCGGAAAATACTCTTGTTGGCACAATAATAGCTCATGTTATTCTAAACGATCTCGATTCATTTGGTAAGTGATGGATTCTTCAAAAGAAAGAAAGAAAGTTTTCTCAAGTGTTGAAAGTTTTCAGCAAGGTCACCATTTTTCATATATTGTTAGAGAAATAAAGTGATTCCTCCGTATGCTTTTATAAAACACTTCACGTAAAATAACAGAATTGTGTAATCCATCGCTTAGCTATCTGAGTTCATGAACAATTGAAGTTTAAGTATCACTTTGTTTGACTTATTGTTCAATTTGATCGGCGGACTGAAAATTCTCTTACCTTGAACCGATTTTAGCTAATGGAAATCCATATCTTCAACTACGAACAAGTGAACCTCCGTTACCATTGATTTACAAACTAATATATCAAAATAACTTCCAAAATCTCAAACTATATTCCTTAATTCTCCATCAAACTCTTGACCGTGAAACCAAATCAATCTATGACAACATTCAGTTTCTTGCCTACGATTCTGGGACACCAACATTACACACACAACTAGTTATCTCACTGAACATTACTGATGTCAATGACTGTATACCGAAGTTATTGACAAATTCAAGCATTTATCAAGTTAATGAGAACAATCCAATTGGTTATTTGATCGATCGGTTACGTGCATATGATTGCGATCTAGGCGATAATGCGCGTGTTGGATATCGTTTATTGAATCAAAGTAATTTGTTGATATTGAATTCTCAAACAGGCGAACTGAGTTTGAATCAATCGATTGATTTTGAAAAGTTGAACAGGTTTCATGAGAAAAATCGCACGACGATCGATTTGGACTTTTTAATTGAATTACGAGATTATGGACAACCATCCTTATCAAATCAAACGAAGATTACTTTACGTATTCATGATATGAATGATCACTCACCTGAATTCGATCAACATCAGTCGTATAATTGGACATATTCGAAAGAAATGCTTCAACCTGGAATTGTTCTCGGACGAATTATCGCTACAGATGCCGATTCAGGTCTATTCGGTTTTCTTCACTACTCAATTCGTTCATTAAATCCATGCTTGATTCTAAACATCACCTCTCTCGGTTATGTCTACATTCCACATGAATTTCCCATCACTACATGTTCTCTCTCACCTTCATCCACATTCGAAGTCACTGCAACAGATTACGATCCGATCAATGCTCGTTCAACTACACAAACCTTAATAATTAACCTTCATTCCAATTCGTCACCTGAAGAATTTTTACCTAAACTTTTACCTTTGTCTCTTCAACGTACAACCATAGATGTCCATACAAAAGACCATACTGCTTTCATTATTGACATTACAACATTGAACAATCGAACGTATGAACCAAGAATTTCTTTAAATCACAATCACTTAGTTCCATGTTGGAACATCAGTTCCTCGGGTGAACTCCGTTTGATATCTCGTCCATCGGCTTCGTCATATTTCTTATCCTTCGATCTGGTCGATGATTACACACAAAATCATTTGACTTATAAACTTCAAATTGACATATGTAACAGTTCGATTTTAAATTCATGTCAACTATTTCGATCATCGAATAACAAACTTGTGTTAATTTACGCAATGAGTTTAGCTCTATCAATCACATTTCTATGTATCGTGATATTTTCAATTATTATCTGTTTATGCTGTCGAAAAAGTCAACAGCACAATGACAAATTAGCATCAATGCATCATCATAGTTTTCTACAATACAACGATGATTATCACAATGAAAAAGTAGGATTGCGATTTTATCATCACAAAATCGAATAACAGTCTTTTTTCGTTCACAGATCGACACTGCAAGTGATCAATACAAAAGCGCATCCGATTCAACAATTCGTGATGATGATCGTAAGCTTGACGAAGCGGAGAAGCTTTCAATAAATCTTTTGTTATATCATTCAGATGATTCAGCATGTATTGTCAATGGACATTCGGCTTCATCAACAACATCATCGAACGATACGTGGTATAATCGAAAAGAGTCGACTATTGAAATGCAGCCAACGTCCGTATATCAATACGATATCAAATTAGCTGAGTTGTTACGAAAGAATCCCAATCCACCATGTATATACTTGAGTGATTTACCACCGATTCCTCAGTCGTCAAGTACAGATTATGGATTCAGTAGTTTGAATTTGTCGAAATCATCTTCGACGTCAACCATTTCCAATCATCAACCTGAAGTGTTGGTAGAACGTTCGACAAAAATGAAAAGTTTTATTTCATCTCATGAATGCGTTGTTTAATACAGTTAATTTTCTTCTCTTTTTGTTCAAACTCTCTCTCTATATATATATATTTGTCTGTCTCTTTGCCATATTAAAAAGAAACCTTTTACAAACGAATTCTATTGTATTCTCTATTGACTTAAAAAAGATGAAAGTAAATGTATGTAAACAAAGAATAATAATTCAATTTAATGTATTCTTTCACGACAACTATCCGATGATATGTTTTCTACTCATCTAATCTTCACCGTCCTAGAACGAAAGAGAGGTGTGCATTGAATGAAGAAATTCGATTAGGTAAATTTGACCGAAAAGTACTTTTTGTTGTCTATGACACAATATCGACGAAAGATTCATTTTGCACTCTGTTTTACATGTACTTCTAAATATAGGATTGCTTCGTACGTCATTTAGATTAAGGTATACGATATATTATAAATAGACGACGCATCTAATATTCATCGAGAATTATTAAGCGTCAAAGGAGAATTGTAAGAAAGAATTGACATGGCACTATCATCGAAAGTACGCGGTACAATCGTTGCGGTGCTTGTATTTATCTTCGGAATCATCCATCTCGGTCTTGGTATTGGAATTGCTCGAGATTATAGTCGTTATAAAGATATATTTCGGCAATCCGTAGCATTGGCAATCTACGATCTTGTTATTGGTATCTTTGGAACTATTGTTGGAATTTTGAGTATAGTCATTATTACTACACAACGACTAAATCTATGTAATCATTTCTTTTCCCAATATTTCACTATGAACGAATCTGAACAATACATACTTTAGATCGTCCTGCAGCTATCTGTTCACTTGTGCTAGGCGTTCTCACATTAGGATCACTAATCGCTGCACTCGCTCTTAATTCTCAAGCGATTGACTATGTTCGATCACGCTTAACATATCGTATGAGGTCATTTACTTCAACTGCTGATTCGATTTCTGTGGTGAACGATATACAAACAAGGTATAAATGTTGTGGTGAAAATCTATGGCTTGACTGGGCGCAAGTAGTATTGAATCCTGCAAGTACAAATGCAACTGGCGCAGTTTCAAGTCCAGATTCAAGCAACACAATAATTACTTCAGGATCTGGGTCTACTAATAGCCTCTCAAACTTAGACTCCGGAATCTTTGGTAGCTCATCACGCTCAAGAGCTGGCAACAGACGTCGTCGTCAGGACTGGCATCGAGGATCCAAGATTTTACAGCAACCTGTGCGTCGAAAGCGGGACATTTCTGTATCAAACAGCAACAATAATATATATAATTTACCCTCGACTTATTCTATCTATCTGCCATTGTCATGCTGCACGGGTGGAGGCATATCTAGTGGAAATAGTCTTGGAGGAGGTAAGTTCCCATTTATATTGTTTGGAGAATACAGTAACCAGATCAAAAATTGATTTAGTTTGTACATTCAATGCTGGTAATGGTTCAAGAAATTTCTATGTACGTGAATGTTTGGAACCCATTTCTAATACTGTTGTTTCGCAAATAACGGGCATGGCTGTTATAAACGTTTGCTTGGCAATACTCGCATTTGTATTTGTTCTGGTTTTAATACATATGTTTCCATCGGAAAATCAAGCACAAGACAAAAATGGTTTGTACGATGGAACACAACAAGCACAATATCAACAAGCGCAAAGTAGCGGATCTGCTATGAATCTTGCTGCACCAAGCCCTTATTATAATTATTCAGCATCTTCATATGTATCTCCAACCCACAATTATTCAAACTATACTACTCCAACTTATACAGTTTACCAGTAACATCATTATTTTACTGGAATTTCTTTTCTAGACACTAACAGTTCAATAAATCTTCGTACAGCATTTCGTAAACACCAATCATTACCCATGCGTTTTTGACTATTCTAACAATGTACAATATATGTAAATGAACTTGTGAATCTCTGTTGTTACTGCATATTTATATAATATTGTAAATATTTAAGTAAACGTAAGACATATGCTGGTCTACTAGTTTGTTTCGATTTATTCTGAGTGATTGAAAAACAATGTCTCGAAGCTCGTTATTTGTCTCACGTGTTTTGAGTGTACTACCTTGACTAATACACGACTCGATAACTTTTTTCTACTTTTTACCCCTCTCTTGTCCTTTATTACTTTTCCTTGTCGACATCTCTAGTCATCCGTTGCTTTTATGTATAAATCATTATTTAAACTCAAAACTATCCTTATCACCTTCATTTCATATAATACGTAGAGCAATCGATTGTAAAACGAGTCCAATCAATCAGTTGAGAATATGAAAGCATTAAACCGTTTGTTTGGAATAATCTTCACAGCATTAATTCTCATCTTTGCTATATTTCATCTCGCTGTTGGCATTAGTATTATTGTCAAAGTACGCCATTACGGAGATGTTTTCAAGCCTGAACGAGGCATAGCTGCTTTCAACATTGTTATCAGTATATACGGACTTATTGTTGGTGGGTTCGGTTTGTTTGCACAATTGACTGGCCGAGCAGCATTAAGTTAGTAGACATCGACAGTAGTTCAATAAAATTCTATTTTTTTTCTCTCTATAGGTAAAGTAGTCGCATTTGGCAGTGTTGCATTAGCATTCTTTGCACTTGTTTCATTAATAACTTCGTTGATTATCAATTCATTAGCGATTAACTATGCTACCTCACATTTCAATAGTCGTATGACTGATTATAAAAATACTCAAAGTTCAAGGGACATTGTTGATTCAATTCAAGTTAACTACGATTGTTGTGGTTCGAATACCTGGTTAGATTGGTCGGCAGTCGGTCTCAATGCAACTGCATCTACCACAAATAGTACCGTAACAACACAAATAGCGTCCAACTCTACGACAACTGTCAGTAGTGGAACAAGTAGTACCACTGCATTTTCAACAACAGCGGCAATCACGACTTCGACAACAACAGCGGCATCGGGTATTGGCGAAACTACTACTACAACGAGTAGTTTAATAATATCAGATTCTGGAACTAGCACTACCACAGATATTTCAAGCGGAAAAATGGCAGAAGCCAATGGTCAGGCTCTCGTTCGAAGAAAACGACAGGCACAATCTACGTACGGCGGTATAGTTGGTTTACCATTATCATTTAATGTTACATTGCCACAATCTTGCTGTACAAACAATTTAGGATCAACAGAGAATTTAGCTAATCTGTGTAAATATCATTTCTGAATGATAAAATTTCAGAGATGTGTTTCAATTTTCTTTTAGATTGTATATCAAACGCAAACAATGTGTCCAACAATATGCATACCGATGGATGCGCGAAAAAAATCGGCAAATTTGCTGTTAGTCAAACGCTTGGTCTTGTAGTCATCAATAGTTTTCTGGTCGTTCTTTCTCTCGCCGTTATTCCATTACTTTTTCAAAAAGACGTCTCGCCAGATTATTCACAAAGTATGCCAATCAATGCGCAAATCGCACAATATCAACAATATACCAATGATCCATACCAATACAATTCCGTTCACTATCCGTTCGATCCATCGTACAATAATTCCTTTCAACCAACAATGACATACAGTTAAATGGACACGTGATATCAAATGAAACTTTTTTCTTTTGTTCCTCTTTGTATTTATACACATAAACGTTTTCCTATTAAGACAGAAATATACTGTCTACGTTATATTCAATTGCACGATCTTGAAAAGAAGGTTGTAATAATTGTGTTGGTATAATAAACAGTATTGATTTTGATTTGACCGAGAAGCACATGACAAACAGATAGTTCTGTTGTTCAACAACATTTCGTCCGACAAGAAATTGGACTTTCTTCTAATGACTGAATACAAATCAACAACAATTCGATCCCGAATCGAATATTTCTCTCTTGCATTATTCATTTGTTGTGATCATGTTAAGAATTAAATCTGTTCTAATCTCTAAAAATATCAACTAGGCGATCAAGGTCGTATGTGTTTTCGTTCGTGAAAAATACTTCGTATGTAAGAAAGCAAAAAACATAAAAAACCATCGTTTTCATTGAGTCATACTTTTTCTGTCTTTTCTCCATGTTTCTCCATTCATGCGTTACATCGCGTCTTTCTTCCCCTTTCCTTTATATTTGCGTGTGATTACATATCAACGTTCTAACAGTTGCTCTTATTTTACTTGAGGTGATTTCATCGAAAATCAGTGAGCTTACAGTTCGTTGTGACTTTCAAACAACATGGCGATTAAAGAAAACATTTTCCCGTTGTCTATCATGACTTTAATTCTCCTCTTTTCACTGATTCATCTGGGTGTTAGTATTGGTATTATCGGACAGTATCGAAAATACAGCAGTTTCTTGGGTCCACAAATAGGATTAGCTGGTTATAACCTCGCTATTAGTATATTTGGGCTGGCCGCTGGTATTGTAGGTTTATTCGCATTTATGACCGACTCACCAAAAATAGGTAAGATATTTCCCACCTCAGAATCGACTACGATATATAAATGTGACTCATAGATATTGTTTCAGTATGTGAGTCTATTTCGAGTACGGAAGGTCGTTTAAGTCTTCGATGAATCATTCTTATCTGATCACAGTTTATGAATTGAAACAAATCTACGTATAATTTAGGAAAAATTGTCTGTGGAATATCAGCTGCAGTAGGCATCATGGCTCTTGCATCGTTAGTAACTGCAATTATTGTGAATGCAAAGTCCATAAGCTATGTCGGAAATCGATTTAAGTCTAGAATGAGTATTTATGGATCTGATTCAGATGCTCGAACCGTCATTGATAAGTTTCAAACAAATTATCAATGTTGTGGTGCATATACATGGCTTGATTGGGCCAATGTTGATCTTGTTGCCCCCAATGCAACAATAACTACAACGATGATGACAACAACAGCAATAACAAACACCGCCACCACTACTTCAACATCAACTTCTACTACTACTACTACTACTTCTGGCAGCGGTAAAAGCGCTGTCTTGAATCAAGAGGCGTCTCCTGCAAATATTCGTCGACGAAAACGACAAGCCGTTTCATCATATGGCGATATCATTGGTCTACCGATCTTGTTTGGTGTCGTATTTCCTTACTCGTGCTGTACAAGTGATGCGTTAACAGTTACTGATGGAACAATTACATGTACGTAGGATTTTGTCTAGCGAATAAGTAATTTCTTTCTGTTTTCAAGATTGCGTATCGAATCAAAATGGTGCTGTCAATCATTTTTATACCAATGGATGTATAAAAGATCTTGATACAATCGCTGGGAATCAATCCATGGGTTTCGGTGTTATCAACTGTTTCCTAATTGTTTTATCGTTTGTTGCCATACCTTTACTCTGGAAAATGTCAGCATCTGTATAGGGCGGAAGAATAATGTCTTTGTTATTGAAGACATCCTCATTTTAGACTTTTGCCTTGGTAATTTTTGGTGATACCGATCTTTTTCTTTTGAAATTAGATTTTTTGGACTAAATCTGATTTTCTGTGTTAGTTTTCCACGTTTTCCCCGCCATCATTTTTTTTTATAACAGTTAATTTTCGATAATAAAAATAAAAGTTCGTTAAAACACACGATCGATCTCTCGTTGACATCTCGATGCATATATAATTCTCTCTTACACAATGCAAAACCCGATTCACGAAATGTAGATGTCGATAGTGTAGCCTATATTCACTATTGATAGGTTAAACCAAAGAACTTTTTCTACCAAACAATATACGGTAGCTTTATTTATATTATACTACATGTACATAGTCATGAATATCGAACGGATAATTACCAACAATAGGCATATCAAGCAGAAGTGAAAGCTGAAGTGAACATGTTCATTTATATTTTTGTGAATAATAGTGCCTCGTTTTTGTAAATCTTCTTCCCTTTTTTATTCATATTCGAAAGATTATCGCGATCAGATTCGTTTGTTGTAGTTTTAACCCCTTTATTCAATGAAGCTTTTCAGATCGATAGATATACGAACAACAATTAGACTATTCAACTATGCCGGAAACATGGGATGCCATAACCCAACAGGAAGAACAAGACTTGACCAATCTTATGTCCGAATATGATTTTGCGATTAAAGATGCAGAACGATTTGTTGATATGCTGCAGCAAAGTTTGACTGATCTTGACGTCGTAAGTCAAGTTTATCTTGGAATCATATCACTTTTTTCTTCCTCTCAGGCAAATGTGGAGACAGTCATGGCTTCGGAAAAAGGCGCTGTACAATTGATGAATATGTTAGACAAAGCTGTCGATGAAATTTCCAAGATCGATGATCGTTTGGGTCTCTATGAAAAGAAACTGAGTGTATGTCGATGGAATTTAAACACATAGAGATTTTATTCTCCCTTCGAATTTAGACTGTTGCAGATGCCGTAAAGATCATGAGCCGAAAAGATTCGCTAATACAAATTGAAACTGCCAACGTTCACAAACTAACTGACGCTTTAGAAAACCTACTGGTAAGCGATCGTCAATGTTCGACATTGATCATTATTGAATAGTTGCCTTTCTTTCCAAGGGAGTGCAAGACTTCTCAGATGAAGATGTTCAATTATTACAAAACAGTGATCTAACCAATGACAATGATCGAGCCGCATGCATTCAGGTGGCAAATTTGTTAACCCAGGCTGTTGGAGTTCAACTTCAACCGGGTTAGTCATGATCGATCTGTTGAGCTTACTGTTGAAATCCATATCGATATAGGAATGGAAAAAATGGCAGCGATTAAGCAAAGACGAGAGCTACTCGAACAAACACAGCGATCGTTTTCATTACGATGTAGAAATTTTCTCAGTAGTAAATTTGTTTTTCATGTAAGTCTATTTTGACATAAAAATAAGAAGGCTGAACTCACCCTCTTCTAGGCTGAAGGGTATGGCGAACATTTCGAGCTTGGTGGCAATGAATTACCACGTCATGGTGAGAAAATCACACGACCATTGTTGCCTTTCAGTCCGTTATGCCAGTGGTTGAAGGTCTCATCACCTGGATATTTCAAAGAAGTCTGCCAAGTAAGAATCAAACTTCGCATTGACTTTTTATTATTGTTTTGACATTATGATAGGCTTATGTTTCGCAAATTCGTCCGATTTACGCCAAGGAAATTCATGGATTCTTTGAATCAGCTCGACTAGGTGTTACTAAAGGTGCTATTGCTATGCCAGAAAGGCGTGCTGGTAAGATGAATTCTATGTGAAGTTCTGACAAGTATCTTTCGTGTCTTAGCTGGATCGGTTTCGACATTGAATACAATTCGACGAGATCGACAATCTGTGCAAACTCAAGCGATGAGTGGTGTAGTAGATAATGATCCATTTTCATTAAAAAATTCTACGCGAGAGTTTCGAACACGATCCGATAAAGTATTGAACATGTTTTCTTTCTTATTCAAATCATCTGCTTCGATAAAATAGATCTTTGATCGTGTGCTCGGCCAAATCTCACCTATTGTGCGCGAAGAACAATTGTTCTGTGTCAACTTCTTCTATTCAGCTGACGAGGAAACTATCGCTGGAGAAGTAGGTTTTTCAATCCTAATACATATCGACCTTATTGCTTATCTTTAGAATGCATCCGAGTCTACAACAGGCACAGAGAATTTTCGTTCGTCTGGATTGAAGTAAGTGATCCTACGTTCCTGAATCGTTACACAAAGAGAACTCTTTTAGACACATACTTGCAGAATTACTCGAACCGTTGGATAGTGAGATAAAAGCATTGATTGGTCATGTGAAGAATGTCGATTCATTGTATGTATTTCTCTTAACACTTCAAATCGGATATTTTCATACCGCTTCTGTTTGATTTAGTACGGTTCTTTATCTTTTTGTGCGTATGAATGAGCATACGATCGCTGTACAAAATTACGGTTCATTTCTAAAAGATCTATTTGCTGGAAATCTAATTTTGCTAAAACGAGAAGTGGATGGTTATGTGGTAAAATCGATCGGTCTCCTCTACGAAAAGATAAACAGATGATTTTGCTTCGATTTAGAGCGAGGTTTGTAAGGACATTAATGACTATCGGCCGAGCAGAAACAAACGAGTAGGAATATTGCCCTTCGTCAATTATTTCGCAGTGAGTAGAACATATTTCTTTGTAAAAGTAAGCAAAATGAATGTGTGTTGTAGGAATTCAGCGATGAAGCGGAAATGATCTTTGATAAATCATCACGAGCGGTTGATTTACACCGAGCTTACAAGACTTTAGTCGGCGCAATTTTTCGCGGAATCGAACAATGTGCAGCAGGAATGGCAAACGATCCTAAAACACCACACTCAATGATTCGACTTGGTAAGATGAGAAAAAGTAAATCAACATCCACAATTTTTCAAGATTTTCTTTAGAGAACTACCATCAAATGCAACGTACGTGAACTTCTTTACTATTGCTTGTTTAAATCATGTTCTATCGAATAGATATAATGGGTATTAAGAAATTAACAGCGTTAGATGCGGAAAAACAAGAAGCCCGAAAGAGTTACAATGCAGCGAAAGCGGAATATGAACGTGAATATTGTGGATTTCCATTCGAAAGACTACACGTAAAACATTAACTTGATTTATGAGAAAATATTTCGAACATTTTTCGTTTTCAGTTATTCTTTGAACGTGTTGATGAACTTCGCAAACGTCTGGCAAAAGACGAAGATGTTCAATTTCAAAGCGATTGTAGTATTATCGAATTACGCCGACTAGTTCGTGAACATCCGCCGAAAGAAGTACGGCATCTTTATAGGAAAATTCGTCATCATCTTTTGCCGATTTAGGTCAAACGAGGATTAGAAAGTCTCTATAAAAAGATCGAAAAACATCTTTCGGAGAATTCCTCTCTTATGCAAGTACGTACTTGAGAATCGACCCGAGCAATGCCATGGTCACATTCGTACCTTTTAGGTGATTTGGCACGATATTCAAACACTTGTCATTGGAGAATATGAACGAATGACGAAATTAATCGAAATCTGTTATCCGAATTCTAATATACATCTAGAGTTTACCGTAGACAATCTATTGAGTTTTTTTACCGAAACTGCACATCCTTCGCATTAATTTTTTTCCATGTAATTCACTTGATCAACATTCCCATGAAATCAAACTTCGCTTTTTCAAATTATATCTGCCGGTTCAGCTTAATCTCTTTATTCATATTGTTATATAAAGAAGCGATTCGACTTTTGTTTGTACAAACATTCGTTTTCTGATTAAAGCGATCAAATTAATCCTAGTTGGTTTATTAAATTTTTAGATAATCCAGAAAGAATGAAAGAAGATTTAGTTTTTAATCTTGATCATGGTTATGCCGAAGGTTTATGTCGCGGGTTCCGAAGTGGAATCTTAAAATCAACTGATTATCACAACTTAGTGCAATGCGAGACACTCGAAGGTAAATTCGAAAGATAATTTGGAAAGAAAAGTCATGCGAATATGGCCTGTAGATTTGAGACTTCACCTTCAATCAACTGACTATGGCAATTTCTTATCGAATGAGTCAAATCCATTAACGGTCAATGTTATCGATGATCGTCTACGTGAGAAAATCGTTCAAGAGTTTCAGCATTTGAGAAACATATCCTATGAACCATTGTCTACTTTTTTGGATTACATAACGTAAGAAAAAGAAAAGAGGAGATGCTTTCTTTGTTTTTAAACGATATTTCCAAATAGATATGCATACATGATTGATAATATCGTTCTTTTAATCACCGGTACACTTCATCAACGTGCAATTGGGGATCTTTTACCACGTTGTCATCCATTGGGAAGTTTCGAACAACTTGGAGCAATAACAGTAGCAGATACACCAGCTCAACTCTATACAGCTGTATTAGTTGATACACCGTTAGGTAATCAGATGCAAGTTTTGATGACAACCACGAAATTTCTTCTTGTCTTTAGCACCGTATTTTATTGATTGTATCTCTGAACATGATCTAGATGAGCTGAATGTGGAAATCATTCGAAGCACACTTTATAAAGTAAAACACAGCGGAAACCATAGGACTCTTTTTTTTACAAATATGTTCATTTAGGCGTATCTTGAAGATTTTTACAATTTTTGCAAAAGCCTCGGTGGTGTAACCGCTGAAGTGATGTGTGAAATTCTCGCTGTACGTGGACAGAAAGATCCTAACCAAAAGAGAAACGATTGTATCATTTCAGTTTGAAGCTGATCGTCGCGCATTTATGATCACGATCAATTCATTCGATACCGGTTTGACACAAGATGATCGGGCTAAACTTTATCCAACATGTGGTCATTTACATCCTGATGGCTTACAGGAATTACGACGAACAGATAATTATGAAGGCGTTCGAGATGTTGCTTCTCGTTATCCGGTTAGTTTAATCATGAATTGACATTGACATCGAGATGATTTCATTTGATTTTTAGCAATACAAAGTTTTATTTGATGGTTCAGGTACGAACACCGGTGATAAAACAATTGAAGATAGATTTTTCGAGCATGAGGTAAAATCTCGAACTATTTCTCGGATAGAAATATGAATATTCGATTTAGGTTAAATTGAACATGAATGCATTCCTTCGTCAATTTCATTTCGGAATTTTCTATGCGTATTTGAAATTAAAAGAACAAGAGAATCGTAATATTATTTGGATTGCTGAATGTATCTCTCAGAAACATCGCGCACGGTAACTGCGAGTCCATTTCTTGATTATTATCCAATGTATTTTTGCTTTAGAATTGACAACTACATTCCAATCTTTTAATTCGACTTTTTTCCTTTTTCTTGTCATTTCTTTTTCTTTTTCTCGGATATTTATTTAAATTATCTCCTTGTAGATCTAAGAAATCAACATGGGTGACGACATTTTATCGTACAATGGGGGTGTCGCTCTAGCAATGAAAGGCAAAGAGTGCATAGCAATTGCTTGTGATAAACGTTATGGTGTACAGAATCGAACCATTGCGACGAATTTCACAAAGATATTTCAATATAGTGATCACTGCTTTGTTTCATTTTGTGGTTTGGCGACTGATGTAAGTGTCGAGTGCTGATGAGAACGTTGGAAAATGAAGTTTTGCTTCGATTTCAAAGGTTCAAACGGTCTCGGAACGATTGAAATTCCGTACGAATTTATATGAATTACGCGAACAAAGAAAACTAAAACCCAATGTTCTGTATAACATGTTGACAAATCTTCTCTACGAAAGACGATTTGGACCTTATTTTGTGTTTGCACTCGTCGTCGGTCTGGACCCCAAGACGGGCGAAACATTCATTTATGATTCCGATAATATCGGAGCTGTAAGTGATAATGTTAATCTAGCCACAGTAGGAACAGCTAGTGAATATATCTTTGGTCTCGGTATGACAAAACCATCCTGTAAATATTCCTGAAAAAATCGTTTTCTTTTCGTTTTGCTATTAGGCGAACTTTTCTTCAAACCAAACATGAATGCTGATGAATTATTCGAAGCCACATCGCAAGCTTTATTGAATGGAGTTGATCGCGATTCAGCCAGTGGTTGGGGTGCAGTTGTCTATGTCATTGAAAAAGATAAGATCACTGTGCGCGAACTAAAAGGTCGCCAGGACTGAAGCTACAAGTTCTCTTTTTATTGTTACTATGTTGTGATTTGAAAAACTAGACTCCAAGATAAAAGTCGATGCATTTTACCTCTTTCTTCTTGAGATGATCGCATCTGTTATTGATCTGGTGAAAATATGATGACAAGGGATAATCCATTCAAAAAATACTTTCTTTTAATTGACAATCGAATTAATTAAACATGTCATAAAAGAAAGAGAAAAGAAGAAAGAGAAATGAGATGAGAAATAATTAACTGGCATTTGGCAGTAGTTCACAGAAAGAGAAAAAAGGGAAAGAGAAAGGAAAGAAGCTGTTAATTTCTTGTTTCGTATGTTATGTTTACTTTTCTGCTTTTTCTTGGATAAATCGAACAAAAGAAACAATTGAATGAGCCACGGAAAGAAGTATATGTTAAAGTGAATATGGAATAACAAAGACACACAACTCGCATCCAGATATAGACAAAAAAAGCTCAAGAAAAGACATATGTACAAGGATGCGAATGATATGGATAGATTTGTATTCGTCTTTATAAATCTTCATTATATTCCCTGCAAAGAAAACAAGAGATTCTAAATGATTTTCAATAAAACATGTGATTGACTCACCAGTAGTCGCAATCATATCCTTCAGCCACATGATCTAATAACACTTTTCGTCGTGTGCTACAATAACGATACTTATCTTGAACTTTCTGCTTCATTTCAGTTAGATTTGCGATTTGATTCGAATCTCGTTCTAAATAACCTGATAGTTCTTCCGTTGCGTGTTCTAAATCGGCTTGATTCTGTTCGAATATAATTCTAAAAGAACAATCTTGACATTTTCGACATTTTTATTTGAATCTCTCCTTACGAATGATTGTTTCGTTTGAGATAGAATGCAAATGGGTACGTATACATCAACGTTTGTCGACATTGACGAAGCACGTCGCAAGCGATTTGAAGAAATTGAACTTCGATCCAGCTCATTTGTTGTTGCATCGACTCCATACGCTTTTGCACTTCAGATAGCAATTTACTTTCTAACCGTAAGGATTCATGATGATTATGGTAACGTTTATAATAGTGAAGGTAGCGTTGTAATGCCGCTCGAGAGCGTTCTTGATCGTCACGCGCTTTTTTCGCGTCATCTTCATTGAAACGATTGCAGTTGTACCAGGATGAACCATGAGGTTCCCAAGCGCCCAAACACACCCAGCAAAATTCATACTTGCAAGATTGATTCTTACATATCAAATGATTGCATCCACCATTTTTTTCTAAAACACGAAACAGAAGTATTCATATCGATGACTGGAATATTTTTCAATTTACCAATCGTCGCATGACACTTCGGACATTCTTTTGTATGCGCAGCAATCCAGTTACTCGTTTCACTATCATCATGACATTTCTTTTGCCATTTTTTCAACCATTTACATTTGATTGGTTCATGCCATGATTGACCACATTGAAAACAAAATGATGTATTACATCCTGTACACACAACCATAGCCACATCGCAATAGGCTGCTTTTATTGCATTCGTACAATTCGTTCCTGGACACCAGCGCATGTTTCGATTGCATTCAACAAACGAGTTGGTGATTAAATGTTGATACTTTTGCCGCACTTCAGGCGTGCGAATCAATTGTAAGACTGTCTTATCATCGACTAGGATGTCACATTGAGCTGGACATGGAATTGTTTGTCCGATGCCTTCATCCCGAATCTTCGTAGTTAAATAGTATTGCCAACAATTAATACAAAAGTTATGACCACATTCGAGACCGGTCATCTCAGATGAGGATCTTGTTGAACAACATATGGCACATGTTTGATCGGATGAAGATTGGGATACTTGACGATGTGTTGTACGTTGTGATGAACTAGTTAGTTGAGTTTGAACTGGGATCGTTTTTTTAAAAGGATTGACTATGTGTGCTTGACGAAACAATTCTTCCTGATGATTGGGATCGTAGAAACGTTCCATTAACTTTTCTTTATCCCAACGAAAATGGTGAAGTAACAAACGAACTGTTGTCGATGGCAATTTGATCACTTCATTCACTTCTTTGATACATTCTACCATGTATTTGACTATTTCTTCTTGTGATAAGACTAAGGAAAACGTAGTCATTTCCATGATGATAGAGAGCATTAGTTTTCAGACAAAATCTTACCAACATATTCGAAATTATTGTCTTGAGAATGAGCGTTCGTTGTCGTTAGACCAGAGGAATATTTATTTGACTGTTCGGATGAGGTACGCATTAGTTGATTACTTGGTTGCGATGATTGTACAACATGCTCATCAATAGGAAAAAATCCTGTGTCGTCATCTGATTCTTGTTCATCCTCTTCTTCCTCTTCATTCATATCCTCACTGTCAGTATCTACGAAATGAAAACGAAGAAAATCATCACAAGGCTAGCCACATATTATTTCGTTACCCATAGTAAATTGATCATCGTCTGCCATTCAAGAAGAAATAAACTCGAAGATTTCTTTGTGATTGAGTACGAACGTGGAGAAATAGATCGATCGGTTCGATTAAAGACAAAAAACTTATATGAACATAAAGCTAGAATAAAGAAGCAAATCTATTGATAAAAGATATTCTATACACATCAAAATAAATGACCATGATTATATATAATAACCTTAACAATGACGTGTGATTCTCTATACGTTGACCTTCTGAATCGTTTGAAAATAGTCTACGGCTTTTTCTTCGTTCTAACTATGTCGTATTTGTCAGACTAAGAAAAGTCTTCTCTGTTTATTACATGCATAAAATCATCATTTGATATCTACCATTTGACTAGTCAAATGTATATGCAGAGGTGTGATTGTATTATAAGTCTCTGAAAGTCTTTCCTAATAAGGTAAATGACGAAAGAAAGTATTTTTTGTCTATGAAGGTAATCAATTGAAAGGGAATAATAACATGAAAATAAATATTGCCTGCCATCTACATCTGTTCTGATTGGTTTGATTGTCACTCCATATTACGATCGAATGAATGCTGAGGAAAAAAACCTTTTTTTTTCTCTTCTCAAATCTAGCATGTCTTTATCATCTAAAAATATAAATCTTCTTTTAAATTTTCTCAATGAAGACACATGCGGTTCGACATCCACGTTCGAACAGATTTCTCAAGACTTCCAACGTGAAATCTCGAAAAGCGAGTACTTACATGTTGGAAATGCTTTGCTCTTATTGTTACAAAATCGAGATTTAACCCCGACGGTAGCGCAACGTTTAATTATTTTTTATCTTTTCATTGAAATGTACAAAACGGATCAACAATCAATTTCTCTACATCCATTCGCACCTGTTTTTCTTTCGATTCTACAAACCAACGGAGATCAATCATTGAAAAGTCATAAACATTTTCACTGGATCATCTCACCTGTTACTCGACACGAACGAATATTTGTTTCTTTATTAATTAAAGCGAACGCAAACAAAGACATTATTAAAAAAACACCCAATCAATTTTTACAAACAGATTTTCCAATCAATGACGACCAGCTACAGAAAGAAATCCACCAACAATTAGCAGAACAACTTCGCCAACAAAGGCGACAAATGCCAGCTCTTGTTCAATGCCATATACCGGCAGTCATCAACGATCCAGAGATCAATACCGTACGTAGAATTAAATCTCTTCTCCCAACTTAACATTTCTGTTTTTTTTCAGTATGGATACGATACGTTAATCGGTGGTCCAAATTGTCGATCGGCAAACACACATCAAACTATCGAACGGTTATTAGTCAATAATGTTATGGAACAAACAATTCATCCTGAATATCTTCGTTTGGTTCCACCTTTACATGAATGCACAATGGACGAACTCGTTTGGCTGTCACCCATACCGAATCTCGATATCGACACATCGTTATTTACTTGGGATGATTCTATGTGTATGTCAAAATCGGCCTATTCCGAAGTTCGATTGATAATGGATAAAGCTTATCAAGGTGCAATAAATCTTCAGCAACAGCAAAAGATCCTCGACGATCTTGATCACGATCCTGAGCTTGTTCATCATCTTGGTTTAACGCCTCAAAAATTACCATCATTAGTCGAAAATAATCCAACGATCAGCACCAGTTGTCTGCTCAAACTGATCTCATCCAGTCAAATGACAGATTATCTTCATACGCTAGTACAGATGGACATGAGTTTACATTCAATGGAAGTTGTCAATCGACTATCCACGTCCATGGAATTGCCACGCGAATTCCTTCATCTGTACATCTCAAGATGTATAAAAAAATGCGACGAAACGAAGGATAAATATCTTCAAAGTCGTTTCGTTCGACTCGTTAGTGTATTGGTTCAATCGTTGATACGGAATAAAGTTATTGACGTCAAAGATCTTTTCGTTGAAGTTCAAGGTTTTTGTATTAATTTCCGGAATATCAAAGAAGCAGCTGCGCTTTTTCAACTTCTGAAAACATTCGATTTACGAAACGACGATGCGCACGATTCAACAGCATTGTTAGTTGTTAATGATGAGTGAATTTTCTTCGACGTGTAGATTATTTTCATTCCTATGTTCATTCGATGCATATAGGAACTTTTTAGTCGTTGTTGTTGTTTTTTATTGGTTGTTACGCTAGAGAAAAAACTAATTCATCCTTTCTTTCTCTCACTCTTTTCTGTTGTTTCCCCCTCTTTCTTTTTCTCTCAACAACATATTTCTATTACAGTGATATGACGTGATTGTTATCTAGTTGTATTTTGTTTTTCTAATTTTAGATTGTTAACACTATGGATGAAAATGGAAATAAAAGTAGTGAAGAATCCGACTCAAGATGTTCGTCTGTGATGCTTGATATGCCGGTTTTGTCGTATTTACCACGCCGTTATGATCGTACATTGATTGTTCCATCGATTTTATCGGAACGTCAATCGAATCCTTATGCGGTCGATATTAAGTTACCACCATTGAAATTCTCTACTGCGGAACCAACGAGTGAAGAAGAAGATTTTCTTGCGTTGAATCCGCCAACGACTGAACGTGAACTAACGTTATTCAAACAAAAATTTAATCGTCTTCGCGTGACACTCTCAGTAAGATTTTTCATTTTCAAGACATCACATATGATCTTTTTATCTTTCCAAACTATTTTCATTCATATTAGGCTGTCTAGTCAGAGGTATGTGTAGTGTAAATTGCCTGGCTGCTCGTTTTTTCTCTCTCTCTTTCCTTGAAAGAAAAAAAGAATCGATCTTTCTTGATTTCTTTCTCCTTTGCATCCTATAGCTATTGATTTAGTTTTAGTTGTTCCGTTCAATGAGACACGAACTTGATATTCATTTAGTTTTCTTCTTTCTCTAAAGAAATCACATGAGTTCAATTTGTATACCTGTGAAAAAGTTCGACAGAAGCGATCTGACTTGCGGCGGACAATTCGTGAACAAAAGAAACTAATTCGACAATTGATTACTGAAGCAGCTCAATTGAACGATCAGGTTTGTTGAACATCTATGTGTATCTCTTCGTGAGTCTATTTCGTTTAGATTAATGACATACGAGATGAAATTACAAAACAGTGCCATAAACGAGATGCAAATGAGTTAAAGCAGTTGAAGCTTCGTAGTAAATTAAATCATTTGAATGCAGCGAAAGGTCAATTGATTGAACTGACTGAAACTTTTGATAAATCACATGTCGTCAATGAAGTAAATACAAGTTTTTAGAACGAGTGGAAAAGATTTGTATTTGGCATTCTTTATTAGTGCGAGGTTCGCTTATTGCAATTAAAGAATGAATGTCGAGCAGAAATAGCTGAGCGTGATCAACAGATTGAAGAATTAAAACAACAATTAATAGAAAAATTCGGTTGTCGAGCGATGTAAGTCATTCGCATGGTCTTTACCCTATCTGTAATCGTCTATATTTCAGTGAACATAAGAAAGCCATCCGAGCGACTGAACAGGCGTGTACGATCGAAGGCGAAAAATGTGAAAAACTACAAGAAGTCGTCGATAATTACGAGGCGACTGTTTATCGAGTAAGTTTCCGCTGAAACTACCCGATTGATTTTGTCATGTTTTATCCTTAGGCGAGAAAGCCATGCTGCATTTCGACATCATATCGTTTGTGTAAACTCTCAACTCAATTACGTTTGTATACGATTATGGAAGCAGCATTACATGAACTTTTTCATTCTTCTTGCTCATGCGGAAATTTTAAACGTTGTCACGAAACTTTTATGCGCTTACATACCAAATAAACGATGCCTTATTTCTCTACATTTTAGATGAGTAAAGTACGACCGCTGAACGCGAATCAGATACCTGAAGAGCTGCTCAATGATAAAGAACTTAATCTGCAGATCAAACAATTACCGGAGAATTATAATTTTGAAATACATAAGACGATATGGAGGATAAAAACAATCAAAGCTAAACGAGGTAGAGAGAAGAGCGTTGGATGAATGTTTTTTAATTTGAATTCTTATTAGTGGCCATGCAAATGCCCGAAGGTTTGTTTGTATTCGCGTGTACGATCGCTGATATACTCAAAGCGTAAGATCAAATGAAAGTCAAATGTGTTTTTCGTTACTTTTTCTCTTGAAGTTTTACCAATGTTGATGTTGTGATTATGGGCGATGTGGCTTACGGAGCGTGTTGTATTGATGATTATGGTGCTCGAGCTTTGAAATGTGATCTGTTGATACACTATGGACATAGCTGTCTCGGTAGGTGAGTGTTTATATATGATAGTTTTCATCAAACATATGGGAGCCTTCGCGGTTGGAGACAAGAAATTGTTCTTTTGTTAAAAATAGAGTCAGCCCTCACGTGTTAACCGAATAGAGTATAATTGTTGTTTTGTGTTTTAGTTCCTATCGATGAAACACCTGGAATAAGTATTCTCTATATATTCGTTGATATTCAAGTTAATCTACAGCATATCGTCGATACACTTAAACATCATTTTACATCGGATAGCAAATTAGCTCTTGTGAGCACCATTCAATTCGTTCGAACATTACAAGTATGTGTTTCGTTTCATGTTTTTCACCAGGATCTCACTCGATGACTCTTAGATTATTAAAGAACAACTGAAAGAACATGTTGCGGATGTAATTATGCCCCAGACTAAGCCGCTATCACCTGGCGAAATTCTTGGTTGTACATCTCCGATAATTCCAGATTCCTATTCAATATTATACATTGGGGATGGTCGATTTCATATCGAATCAATCATGATTCATAATCCGAATGCGCCAGCCTTTAAGTAAGTTCGAAGTGAGAAGGAACCAATCTAGAATTGCTTTGTGTAGGTATGATCCATATTCTAAGGAATTCACTCGAGAATATTATGACACAAAATCAATGCATAGCATACGCCAAACTGAAATCAACAAAGCAGCCAGTGGACAAGTTTGGGGATTAGTTCTTGGTTCACTTGGGCGACAGGGCTCGCCGAAAGTTCTCGAGGTATATTTGAAAATCGTACTTTTCGTTGATTACTGAATCGTAACTTTCTTTTAGACAATCAAACAACGTTTAAAATCCAATGGAAAGTCCTATATTCAAGTTGTAATGCCTGAATTAATGCCGGATAAATTGAAACTATTCAAAAATGTTGACGTGTAAGTGTGTTATATCTTTCCATCGGTTCATTTATCATTGCACCATATTTCTCTTCGATTTTAGTTGGATTCAAACCTCATGTCCTCGCCTATCGATAGACTGGGGCGCTGGTTTTCAAACACCGATTCTTACCCCATATGAAGTATATTGTACTCGAACAGAAAATACGTGATTTTGTTGTATATTTTACCAGGCGATGGTTGCACTTCGTCAAATTGAATGGCAAAGCCGTTATCCAATGGATTTCTACGCCCAAAATAGTCTTGGACCATGGACACCAAATAATCCCGAACATCGACCATTAAGGCAGCCTCGACGAAAGATCGAAGTTGCATACGAGAATAAAACGTGTTCATCCTGTGAGACTTGTTCGAATAAAAGTTAACTCCGTTTTGTTTTTCTGTTATTTGAGAAAAATATCTGTCTCAGAATATGCCGATATATTTTCCTCTTTCAGATTATGATCAATCATAAATAACTAATTGATATGGATCGTCGAAACGTTGTCTTCAGCGTGATACAAGATAGGTATGTCTTATTTTTCATTTCTCAAGCGCCGACTTACCGGTCGGTATTAAGAAAGAAAACCTACAGGCGACATTTACTTTTTTGTTAAATGCACTTGCACATACAGTATATATGATTACAATCATATGCGAACGAAAAATCGAAATGGAATAATAATGCCGAGCTGTATACTTGTTGTTTTTTTTCTACTAAGCTACCGTTGTCTTCTTTTCTCGATTAGATTCGTATTTATACAAGACTCTTCCCCATCGCCGTACATACATACAGTCGTTTCTCGCTTTATCGACATGAATCATACGATAAACATGACAACAACAAAAGCCTGACGTTGCTGTTTTTTGCCGTGCGTATGTGTGTGTTATTATTCATCGTTCGCAATGAAAAAAAACGCGAAGAAAAAGAAAAAAAATAATGCGTCATCGTCCTCGAAAGAAAACTTTTTTCCTCGTTTTTTTTTCTCTTCTTACCTCTTTGTCGGCAGCTGAGAGTAGAAGAACAATCAGAGACGCACGAAGACGAAGCAATCGTTAAAAAGACGAAAGAGTATGTAGATGTGTATATGTAGTTAGGGAGTATGCATTTTTGCGCACCACTATGACTATTTATCGCGTTTTTTGTTAGAGTCACTTTGCGTTCTCGTGATATGTCGCTGATTCAACAGCAGTATGCGGGCTGACTAATGCATACATACCTCGTGTGGAACGAGAAATTCTCTCGTTCTTCTCTTCTGATACGAAAGCATAACGGGAAATTTCTGTAAACTTTTTCGTTTCGATTAATTATCAATTTTCCGTCTTGCTCTCACGTGTAAAGCATCTGCTTTTTTCTCAAAAACAAAAAAATCAATATCTCCATCTGACGTTTGGTCAATTTCTTCTTTTTTTTGTCTAGATCGAAGATACAAACATTTGCGCCAACTCTTTTCGCTATGTCCAATCAAGCACAAGAAACTGCAGAAAAAAGCGTTCAGACACAGGATTCAAACGGGCCAACGCCAGCAGTTTTAGTCACAAATAATCCCGAGAATACCGCCGCCGAAGTCGCCAATACACTAGTCTCGATGGCCACCGGTCGACAAAGAGTCATTCCAACCGTTAAACAACTAGTAAATTTCATTCAGGAAAGCTTCGTCTTCTAATTTATCATCTTTTTAGAATGTAATTACTGTTTCGAATCCATCGTCAACAAGCACAACAACAGTAACAGCGACTCCAACGTTGCCCATCCTATCCTTAGCTGACTATACTACATCACGTGGTGTCCCAACGGCTTCAGCCTTAGCTAATCAAGCTAAATTAACTCCTTTGAAACAAGATGAAATCCTTGAAAACAATGACACTGATTCATCAATGTTAACAGAGGATTATAATCAACTTAGAAGTGAAAGCAATTCGGCAAGTAAATCTCGACGAGGCAAATCGGCGAAATCAGTATCGAGCTCTAAAAATACGAAATCACAAGTTATTGAGCCTATTCAATATGGTCCAATTTTAGTCAAACCACGGAAACAGATTGCACCGACACTTGCCAGTGGTCGAAAAAGTAAAGATGAACCGGTAGGAATAATTGACTTTGTTTAAATATCAAAGGTTATTGCCCTTTTTTTATTCAATTTAGCTTCCACCAGAAGAAAATGTCCGACGTCAACAACGCCGTGATCGAAATAAACAAGCAGCAGCTAAATGTCGAAAGAAACGAAATGAACTTCGTGAACAATTAGAAAAAGTAAATTGAACTGTCACGTCAAAGAAAATTTTCTTCTTGAATTGCAATAGACGGAACAAATACTAGCGGAACAACAACAAAACCTTCAGCGTTCAGTCCAAACATTATCCGACCAGAAGAATCAGCTCGAATCACTATTGCATCGCCATGCCTGTTTGAGAAAAGCTCATTTGCCAACAGTGAATAATCTAAATCTGACGAAAAACGACGTGAAAACACTTTCCACCTCGAATGTTCTCGATCCGAATAACAGTAAACGTGTGACAATTAACTTTGCAAACCCGCAAGACTTATTTGCTATGTCACGTGTAGTGTCTACCACTGACACCCTTCCTTCGTCATCTGCAACAACAACATCAACAGGCGTTCCAATGATAACTATTCACATTCTACCCGAAGTCGCCCAAGCGTTACTCGGTTCAACATCTCTCGATAAAGCTAAACTAGCTGAACTATTACAACAAGCCAATACAGCTAGTTCCTCTTCCTCAACAACTACCACAACAACAACAGATTCCGTACCGACCAACAATACAAATTGATTCTAACTATACATAGATTTATGTGTACGCTTCACGTTATTTTTTCCGTTTCTCTTTCGTGTCCGTTCGGTTTTGAATTAAATAAATACTGTGTATTTAGATTAAGAACGGAACTGTTCAATTGTTTAACATCAGACATTCATTCTTGTATAAAAAGTTGGTCACTTGTTATGAGGACGTCAAGTTCGTTTTCTTGTTTCTCTCTCTCTTCTTCTTCTTCTTTCTTGATTGAACATGTTTCTTCGTTTGTTTGTTTGTTTTGCAAGTGTAAGCATTTGTTTCATGCGTATTTTCGAAGTTGATTAGTATTGGAGAAAAAAAAGTAAAGTTTACCGTTTAACATAAGTAATGCTCGTCATCTGTCAAAATGCGAAAGAGCTGATTCTTGTTAGAATTATCAATTCAAACAAGTGAGTGATCATCGTTGTTCGATCGACGCGTTAGAAATCGAAAATCAACAGGAAGGAAGATGATAAGTTATATTGTTTTCATATACTTGACTTGAAGTTCGTGTGATATGAATACGGAAGTATGAATTGAAACATTTCATTAAATATTGTCAATGAATAACACTCGACAATGTGTGTCGAAATGGAAATCAGATGAAGAGGGAATTTGATTTTCTAATAAAGACATTTCTTTTCGGCGAAATCGATTTCGTTTCCTCTGAAATGCTAATATCTGAATTGAATGGAAAAAAAACTAATTAGTTTTTAATCTCAATGCATACATTAAGATTTGTTTGTTTAGCCTTTCCTTGAGTATATCCTCTCCTATATAACTTTCGTTTGAGAAATGAAGAAAGAGAAGGACAGTTTGATAATTTTCATGAAGTAAGGGGCACGAGTCTTGTTCGATGAGGACGTGTGTAAAAGCAATGTTTACTATCCCTGATAAGATTAACAATAGTGAATATGAACTTGACTCAAATGTTCACTAGTATTATTATTTGACTCACTGATCAGTAACATGCTTCGATCATCGTTTCTCATGCTGTGTTTCTTAACAATCTTATTCATTTCCTCAACATACGAAAAGAATGTCACAAGTCGAAAACGACCCCATACATCAAGACATAAACCAGCGAGTATCAAACTCTGCGGACCAACGCTAGTGCGCATGCTTGATATGGTTTGTGATCGAGCAAGACAATTGTTAATGAAAACACAACGATCGTCCTCAGATTCCACTTATCAAAAACGACAGATGATTGTCGACGATGATCCATTCACACGTACGTTATCAGTCACGGATTATGCACGTAAGTTTCAACGAGATATCGTCTTTGACATTTGCAAAATTTGTTGCTATTTTCTTTAGAATTTAATAATACATTAGTTGGAGATTGTTGTCTTCAAGCATGTACACTTAAAACATTATTGAAATATTGTTGAGAAGTTTTTTTTTGGCACCTAGGCTCATTGGAACAATAGTAAGAATTTGTATGTTTTCATTGTTATTACTCGTAGGTAGGATTAGGCAATATTTGTCAATGAGAATGTCTGTTTTCGTTGTTGTGCTGTGTTTCTCTTTGTTTTAAATGAATTGATAATAAATTATGACTTTGTCTCTCTGTTGTCCTATCAAACAGAGGAATCAAAGAAAAAAGCAAGCTTCTCGAGAAAATCATTACACAATCGAGCACAAATCATTTGTCTAGTCGAGTGCGACCTCTTCTTTATTGACATTCGATCCATATTATATTCACATATGTTGGTGGTTGTATTTCATTGATTGATTTTCGTATATTACTCGATATTAGTTGTAATATGTCTAGTGAATCCCATCGAATTCCACGAGTCTTATCGATTCAAAGTCATGTTGTCCATGGATTCGTTGGCAACAAATGTGCAGCTTTCATTCTTCAGGTTTTTACGCTTCTTGAAAACGAAAATCTGGTTTCCATCTAACCAGTGAATCTTTTCAGCTCTATGGTTTTGAAGTTGATATCATCAATTCGGTTCATTTTTCCAATCATACAGGTTCAGATCTCTTTTCCATCAATAAATCCTCTATCGAATTCCGCTTCTTTACTCAGGATATAAAACAGTAAAAGGAAGTCGTTTGACTGCTGATGAACTCGAAGCTATATTTCAAGGTCTACTAATCAACGAACTATTAGAATATGATTACATTCTCACCGGTACAGACATTCTTCTATTACTCTAATTTTTGAACAAGCTCATCTTTCCGTAGGTTATATGGGTTCAGGAGAACTTTTACATGTAGTTGCGAAATACGTTCGTCTGATTAAATCAAAATCTGCTCATATCAAATACAGTATGTATGAACTAAGCAAGGAATTAGAAAAAAGAACACTTTTTTTGGAATAGTCTGTGATCCAGTGATTGGTGATAATAACAAACTCGTAAGCCGTCATTGAATTTTCGATTTGATTATGTTATTTGTTCCAGTATGTTGACCGATCATGTATCGAAGTTTATAAAAACGAAATTCTTCCGTTGGCTGACATCGTTACGCCGAATGATTTCGAAATCGAGTGATTATTAACCTGTCTGAAGGAAACCAATAATTTCTATCTGTTTTTGTAGAGTATTGATCGGAAAAGAACTAGATTATAAAAATGATGAAAATCAAGAAGAAGTCATCTGGCAATCATTGAGAAGCTTACATAAAATGGGTCCAAGTCATATTATCATTTCGAGTATATCAGCTGATAAAACAGGCGGCAATCAAACAATGTTACAGATGCGAGCGAGCACACAATTCCTAGGTTGATAAAATCTTCTTCAACAAATCGTCTTCTATGCAGGAAAATTCCTTTTCAGATAATCAATATCAAACATTCCAGATTGACTTTCCACATTTAGAGGGTTCGTTCACCGGTACTGGCGATTCTTTTTCCGCATTGATCCTCGCCTGGTTTCATAAAGAGAATAATCTAATCGTAAGTGAATTCATTCTAGTCCTATTCTAAGCATCATCGTAAACTATTCCAGCGTGCTTGTGAACGATCTATCTCTATTCTTCATCAGATTCTGCGAAAAACAATTGGTACGTTTTGAACCCTTGTCTCCATGAACTTGTTCGATTTTTTCGCTTTTAGAAATATCCAAACCGATTAACACGCATAACCGATGTGGACATGAACTATGTTTAATCGAAAGTAAAGCAATCATAGAGTGTGGCGAAATTCTCTTTCATGCTGTTCTTAATGACAAACATCTTAGTAGCTAATTAATCGGCACATTTTCAATATTTATTCCATTATTCCTGAAAAAGTTTTTCAATACTAATATTTCCAGTCAAATAAAACTGAATAGCCTGTTATTCACCTTGAATAAACCTCTTATCTTCTGAGAATGAAACACAAATGTGCAAATCATGAAAAGCATTAAGAGATATATAATCCGACAAGATCATCCTTGAATGCTCAGATTCATCCGTATAAACTTCAAGTCTAGTCCGAAGACTAGTTAAATAAATGTCTTTGCATTTTATGAAAATGTTTGATAAATATCCGCGAGCTTCAATCAATACGACCCAATCGAGTTTACTTCATTAGAGATGCTCACCTTGAGATCAAGGTCGATTCAATTTGAACTAGTCATCGTACATTCGATTTAATCGAAACGAATCAGCTCCTTTATGCCTCTTCAATTATCTTATACTTGATAAGAAGGTTAGAGATACGTGTTTGTTATTATTAAAATATCTTAGAGAAAATAAATTTCGCAGTTTTTCATACATGAGGACAAATGTGTATTGCAGATAACATTTTTTTTAATGTTTGTTAATTCTACTCATTCGGAGAATGGGTTTCAACGTTGACGAATCAGTTGGATTATGTATAGCATCTATCGGTCGCGAATCATCGACATTCGAAGGAAATTGTTGGAATTCTAGCCCTTCTGCGCTATTACATTTTGATGATAATTGTTTCAATGGGCTCTAAAATGTACCAAGTAATGATGAGAACGTGTTCCTGTTGACTTTCGTCTTACTTTTGTAGTTATATTCGGTACGTTTGGAACAGCTGGGACACGAACGCGTGAAATATTTTCCATTTGAATCGATCTGGCGTTCAATGCTTGTTCTTTCGCTTGAATCTTTTTTACATCAATCGTCACGTCCCCTGAGCGTATATAATCATAGATCTGATCTAGTTCGTGATAATTTTCATCCTCAGAATCGCATTCTTGTTGCCGAGAACTTTTTCTTGGCTTGTCAATTTTAATTTTCGAGTAATAACTTGATTGTTTGGCGATTTTCTCTGCTTGATCAGGTTCTTTTGGCATCAAATCCAGTTGATGGTCTTCATCACTGCTAAGCATATCGCATGATTTGCGAAAGGTTCCTCTAATGAGCTCCGTTGGATGAAACTCAATGTGCGGTTCGGATTGAGAGCGTTTTTTAAACAGTGCATCTTTTTGTGCGGATTTTGGTTTGCTTGGCGTGCTTAAAACAAGTGGAAAATGTATGTACGAAAGTTCGGTTTGATACTGATTGATGATTTCTGAGCACTTGTCGAGTAATCGTTGGTAAGATTTATTTTTCGTGATATCGTGCATGTTTATACAACGCTGAACTTCAACTTCACTATCGATCGGTATTGGGATGATAACTGTATGTGATTTCAGCGAGGACGGAATGATTAAAGGACATGCAAAGATTACTTGTTCGGTGTATGGTAATAACAAACGGAATTTAGTTGACGGAGACGTGGGCGTTTCAGAGAGGATTGTTTTTGATGAAGAATAGATATGGTCAAATGTAACGGAATGATTGAGCAAACGAACGGAGATTGGAAAACGGAAATTAGACAGGAGTTGCTTTAATTGAAAAACACCTGATACGTCGGCGTTGTCAGGATCGAACATGAAACTATATCGTCGCTTTGGGGCGTACACGGGACTAAAAAGGCCTGTTTCGTCGATTGATATGTAGACAATATCACCTTGTTCTGTTTGACATTTCAAATACGACTGAGAGATTTTTGGTACATCATAAATGTTTCTTGTTGAGGTAGTCATTACCGAAGGATTCACTGATGGTTGTTGAGGTTTTCTGCGAGGAAAGAAAAATCGAGATTTGGTTCGTAACCATGATGTTGTTGATGATTGAGAGGTCGACGGATCCGACTTGTTTGACTCTTGGACATTTGTAGGACTACGATATGCTAAACATGTACTTAGAATTGTGATGACTTGCCCGGGTTGAAGCATTTGTTTTTCATCGTTGAGTATCAGCGGTGTTTTTTGAGGATCGAGGTCGGATAATGAACCGTAACATGAATCAGCGCTACCAGAAAGTTTACCGTCGTCGGGAGCAGAACGTTTTGTAAACACTTGACATGTACTTCGAAGAAAAAACGTTTGAGGCCATTTTTCCGTACGTACTTTTCGATTTTGTTCATCATTTTCGTACTCAATAATCAATAAATCGGATATTCGGTGAAATGGCTCAATGGCTTGATCATTTTCATTCAATAATTCGAAATATTGAGGATAAGACAGTGGAATTCGACAAAGCGGAACAACATTCGAACGTTTTCTATTTAAATTTCGAGCGATCGTTCGAGTATTGAACGCATCCACATCGTTATCACCATTGGTATCATCAGTATTTTCATCTCGACTACTCGAGGTCGCAATTGTAACAAGTGACTTGGACAGGTTCTTCATTGTACGAAGTTTTGTTGACTTTTTAATCAGATGTTTCCCATGACTGATACTTGATCGATGTTTTCCCTCGTTTGAACAATGGCATTCGGAGAGAATAGATTGAAATTGATGAGTAGTCAGTAATAATAAAGGAATGTTTCTGGACAGGAAATGCTTTATTGGTCGCTCGTGAATATTTGATGATGAAATTCGCACAATAATTGGAAAGTTCGAGTTCATATTCTGGAGGAATTGTTGCAACGGGTAAGATTGATCATTGGAGGATGGAAAATAATAACTTTGATCGTTTAATAGATAATGCATATTCAGACTTGCTCTTTTCGTCGACAAACTTTCAAATCGAAGAATGCTATGAGTCAATCAATGCATTGTTTTCGATGGAAATAGAATTGCTAATGTTCTCTCTTTTTTCTTCTTGCTGTTGCCGTCGTCAAACAACGAACTTAGATGGTGCATGCACGAATGTTGTTCTATTCTTCAATAAGTACACCTACGAAACTTCTCTGTCGCGTTTTTTTTTCAATAGTTTTTGTCACAGACAGAACAACCATCATATATATATATGTATGTGTGTGTATAAAGAGTAACAAGAAAGAACAGCGAGAGGGAGCAAAAGGAGAGAGAGAGAGAAAAAAATCAGTGAGACTGCTGTGCACAGGTATGAAAAGAATAAAAATGAAGGATGGCGAAGACCTACGCAGTCTAGTAGTTCTTTTCGCATGTAATATTTCATATATAATAAATGTATGTATTGTTGATTAAGATTGTAAAACAGAAGACACAACAATCGAACAGATGTTAGATTTTATTTGATCATTATGAAACTAATCATAAAAGAAACATTGAAAATTGCAGTATGATTTATTATGATAGATGAATGCTTTCTCGACACAAACAAAATAAACGTCTATTCAATGTTTCAGCATATTCAACTATCATTGCTTATGTTCCTTTTTGATATGTAACAAGAATCGACGGTAACAGAAGATGTATATCATCGCCTTTTTTCTCATTTAATTCAATTAATATTCTATAATCTAATTCGCATTCAATTCGTTGAGTGGTACCAACAGATTGATTTGAATAAGATGCTTGTAATGGTTGATATGGCAATTGTAGAAGTGTTTCACCAACCCATTCACGTTGAGGCGACATTGTTGACAGATCAAATGTCCATTCCTTACCATCCAATTGTAAGCGATATTGATCGTTATGTACACGATAGAATTGTATCAATGTAACGGTTATTGAACGAATCAAACGTTGATGTGGATTCAAATAGTTTAAGCGAACCGATATTTGTTCACCGGGCCGATAGAATCGTTTTGTAGTTGACGCTTGTAAATGGATATTATGCTGATTAATTGCGTTATTATTCAACTCGACGTTCGTCGTCGGATGTGGTATGGGACCTTTCGAGCTGAGCACAAGAGGTATTTGATAACGGTAGCGACTCGAGGAGAGATTTAATTCGAGGGTATAGCTCACGGATGGCGGTCGATTATTGAATAACGATGGAGGAAGATCATCTGGTATTTGTAATTGAAATATACCTTTGATTGCCGTTGGTAATGCTGATGTTTGGATATCGCTACTACGTGCTACTGTTGTTGTTGTTGTTGTCGTTTGATCAAATGATGTCTCATTTTGATTAGTACTTGGCATCGATTGCCTTGCACTCTCTTGATTAAGTGTTACAAAACAACGTTGTCGACAGACATTAACTTGATGCTGAGAATGTCCGTCACTATCTGCTGCTGCATCCACTTCAGCTGAATAGATCGCATCGCCAACAAGTTCGATTACAATGTCATTCGATAATAATTGTTGAATGAGTGTATCAGGTGCTTTGCGATGGTTTTTATTGTTTAGATAATTTTGAAAATATGCCACTGGAATTTCAACTGAGCCAGTTAGAAGTTCGCCGGTAAAGTAAAATCCGTTAGCTTGGTCCGTACGGATATGGATTTGCTTGGATGCTGCGTCCTGTCCACTACTGGTCCATCGACCAGGAGATGGCGGAGCGTTGCTGTTCGCATTCGTATTACCCATAGAACAAAAGCTGATTGACTGTTTGGCACCCGTTCGATTGTATATATCTATAGAATTGTTTGTCTTAACTGCTTTATCATTAGTACTATATTTGCTTGTTTCCTATTTCTTTACTTGTCACTAGTAAACTAACGAAGATGGCGATATGAAAGAGGGAGGGAGAGAGAGAGAGAGAGCGAAGGAGAAATTACAGAGATAGAGAGAGAAGCAAGTATGAGTAATAATCAGAAATGCATTCAGAAACCTTTTCTCCCGATTCTTTTTGTTTCTCTTTTTCTTCTTATTCTAGCGTGTCATATGCCTGATTCGACATCATACACTATTCTATATCCAGTAGTCTAATGAAGAAAAAGAAAGACGGCTAGAGCTGAATGACAACAACTAAGACAAGAAGGAAAAAGTGAAAAAGAAAGAAAGGCAACGAAGTAGCAATGATAAAAGGATAAAAGCTTGCTTTTTTCGTCTCTTTTTTCTAATAATACTAATGCTATTGATTAGCATTAATCCACATAACAATGAAACAGCATCTTTAGATAAACATCTTACATTTTGTTTCGATAACATTTAGTTATAATTTGATTATTATTCAAAAGGCCGAACAGTTTACCAACGGAAACCGATGTTTGATTCATGGAAGAAATCGATTTCTATTCAACAATGATCGTTTTTCTCGAGTGGTTCTATTTCACTTGTTGATTCATATACTGAGAACGTTACGATCACCAACGAGAGCTTTATTTGTCTAACATTTACTTACATATCATTATCCCGTTCATTTTTCACTTGTTTATTAACTAGCTTTCCGATGGAGATGGAAAGAGAAACAAAGTTAATTGATTAAGAAACCAACAAGTTAAAGCCTCGATTCGATCACGATAGAATTCTTCGCTTTCTACTCCATCATCATCTTCTTTCCGGTTTTTATTTTACAGGATACTCTCATTTGCCGTTTTATTCCGAAGGGTATCCCAACTATATTCACAGATGTCGACAATACATTGAATTCTACTTAGGAATGTTATTCTTGTCGATGTTGACAAAAACATTCAATATAACGAGCATGAGATTGTTGATTACAAATATCATCATCATCGAAAATCGATTTCTCTTGATAATTTCAAGCGATTCCGGCACATAGTTCATTCCGTTGTATGTCCGAGAACATTTCTGAAATGAGAAGAGAAGAAATACTCCGCTATTCATGTATCTTCAATTGGCAACGTCGATAGAATTACTCTCGTCATTTTCTAATTCAACTCATCTCAACGAGCAATTAATATTGCTTGATAAAATATGCAAAGATAAGTTTCGAGTTTTTCCCTTTTTGATTGAAACTCGATCGGAATTCATTTAGATTGTAATATGATTAGAGATAAGTATCGTAGCCTGGTGTCTCTTCTCAGATTATATTATCGATGTTGGAAAAGTGAACTAGGGCAAGATATTTGAATTCGTATTTCACATTGATCTTGACATCAATATGCGATCTGGAGTAATGTCATAGTAATCTCGAGTTCGAAAAAAACAAATGGCGCGTTGATTGAGAAAAGCGCTGTTTATTGATCTTTCTTATATTGGTTAAAAGAACATAAATGACGCATTTATTTCTAAATGAAACATCGCGGAAGATGTTAGTAACAAATGTCAATCTGCTCGTCCAACGAGGGAAAGGTATTCTAGCGGCAGATGAAAACCCGTCGTCGCTGGTTAAACGATTTCAGTCAATTCAGGTGGAAAACACCGCGGAACAACGTCGAATCTATCGACAGTTATTATTTACAACGCCTGACATTCAACAATATCTTAGTGGAATTCTTATGCATGAAGAAACATTTAATCAAAGTACGGATAGTTCAATACCATTTCCAATGGTACTTGTTCAGAACGGAATACTCGCTGGTATTAAGCTCGATCGAGTAACCAGACGAGAAGTGAAAATCAACGAGGAACACTTTGCTCTATAGGGCTTAGAATCATTAACAATAAATACAAATGAAACAACCACACTAGGTTTTGATGACTTAGAAAGGCGATGTGAAGATTCGTAAGTGAAAAATTTCCTAGTGATGACGAAAGACTATGCATTGAACTTCAAGTTTTAATCGCGGGGCCCGATTCGCTAAATGGCGTTGTGTGTTCCATATAAATGAAGCTTACAATCAACCAACAGACATAGCCATTGAAAATAATGCGATAATTCTCGCACGATATGCATCAATCTGTCAAACAAAAGGCATTCTTAGGCAAAGAAAATAAATTGAATCAATCATTTTGTATCCTTCAAGGTTTAGTTCCTGTCATTCAATCAGAAGTTATTTCCGATGGTGATCATGATATATACGCATGTCAGTGCGCTTTAGAGAAAGTACTCTCCTCGATATTTAAAGCTTTGTCGGATTACGATGTCTATCTCGAGGGTTGTGTACTCAAAACTGTGAGTCACGATGCACCAAGTTAATTAGGAAAAAGCGAAGTTGCTTTGCAGAATATGGTTACGTGCGGACGTCGAGTAAAAAAGAAAGACAAATGTACTGATATTGGTAAATCGAAGAGCAAGCTACCACGTGCTTTCTTTCTCATTCTATTTCTTAACTTTTTTGAGCTTTGGCAACAATTACTGCACTAACCCGAACATGCCCGGCAGCACTTGGAGGAATTGTATATGAGAAGGAAGAAGATGGAATCTTGTGTGAAATGTGTTTCTCGCGTAGATCTTTCTTAGCGGTGGTCAGTCGGAAGAAGATGCGACAAACAATCTGAATGAATTGAATCGACCTGTCTATCAAGAGAAATGTCCTTGGGTATTAACATTTAGTTACGGACGAGCATTGCAAACATCAGGTTTCGATAGTCGTTTGATTTTATATGCTTGAATAGTAATTGTTGCTGTATTTAGCATTGAAAGCATGGAGCGGAAAACGAGAGAACGAAGTAAATGCACAAGAGAGTTTTCTTAAACGCGCTCAAGTCAATGCTCTTGCTTCTAAAGGAGAATATGACAAATGAAGCTAAAGAAAAGCATCTTCATGTAGTCCGGTGGATAAGTATTAATAATCAGAAGCAGGATAACTAATGTCATGCGTTGTTCGCATTGATATTTGTCTTTCTCACGGCTTCGAGTACTTTGATGATTGTAGCCTTTCTATTTTGTCAATTGATCCATAAACACAAACAAAAATCAGCTTGTAATGATCATTATACACTACGCTGACACCGAGGCAAAGAGTAGAAATATTGTACTTGCTTCAGCTCTAGATAGTTTTGTATCATGGGAATCAGCTCAGTGCGTCATCAAGGGAGAAAGATATTATAAGCTTCATTGCTTGAGACAGATGCCATTCAACAATTTCCTCGTGTTCAACTTGATTTCCGTCAACTGAACTGACTAACTTATAGGAATCGATTCTATTTTGAAATGGTTAAAAGATGTCAGAATTAGCTGTCAATAAGTTCACAGTAAAAAATAAATGAGCTCTTCAATTCAAAGGTATGAACTGCTTAAACTCTCACCAAACAATGATTTCTCGGAGGACTGAAAAACTCAACGATAGCTTTCCATTGTTGTCTGACTGAAAACTTCCATTCAATTATCCAAGAATAGATTTCATTTATAGACAAATCATTCCCAGCGTTTGTCTTTTGTCTATTTCTGTTTTCATTTTATTGCTCATGTTCAGTTAGATCAACAAGAACACAGATCATCTGTGTTGATACAGAGAGGAAAAACAAATATTACAAAGTAAAACAACAAGAATAGTGAGACGAAGAATTCCTATCAAAGTTTGCGTCGATCGACTGACGCTGTTGGTGGAGGTGGTGTGCCGCGTTTATCAAGTTCACGAATGTAATTCATCAGAATTCTCGAGCGTTCTTCAGGTTCGGAGTCTAACAGAAAGTATCGCTGATCTTTTTGGAGAATCTTTTCGATATCGCGTAGATGATTTTGTTCTTCTGATTCTCGAATTATTTGATATGATCTAAATGAAAGCGAAGGCGAATGGATAAAAAAACAAAGAAAAATTCGCTGCTATTTACTTGTAAGTGATTATTTTCGTTTCTTTTAATAATTCTTGAAATTCTTGTTTGGCTTCATGATATTTTTTCTTGATATATTCTTCGAATTCCTTTTCTAAATCACGTTTTCGCTCATTGGAGACGATCTTTTCGTATCGTGGATCGGATTTAATGACTTTCTTCACTTCTTTCCATGTCGATGTCAATGTACAATGTTCACTTAGCAGTGTATGAAATGCTAATGTTCGTTTATTTACCAATGCATTCACATGTTCTTGGAATAGCTGCTCTTTCTCATCTCGATCGAGATCCTGTTCCCATCGCGGATCTTTTCGTAAGGCTTTCTTCGTTTCTTTCCATTCGGCATCTGCTGTGCGAACCATATCAGTTAATAGAGCTTTGAAATTTTCCGTCGCTTTGTCTTTCTTCAGCTGTTCACGTTCTTTGTCTAATTCGCGATGAACACCTGATAACTGCTCTTTGACTTCTTCAGCACGTTTTTTTATACTGGCATCGATACGTTCTTGTCTTTCTTTTTCACGTTGTCGTTCGAGGTCTTCTTCGGTTGTCTGAAATCAAACATATTCGGACTGTGTTGTTCTTCTTTTCAACTTACTTCAGTGGGTGCCGGATTCGTCTCATCGAGGTGTTTGGATTGGTACTCACGAAACCAATCTTCACGTCGAGAACTGGAATGAACAGCTTTGTAACGTAGGTCATGATCACATGAGTGCTTAATATCAGACCAGCTAGAATTTCGAGTTACATTGGATTCTTTCAACAAAGCAAAATAGTCTTTTTTTAACTACAAAAAACCAAGCGATTAGCCACATATATCATGTATATGAAAGCGTACTTTTTCTTTGTCGTTTGGTCGATGCGATCCTTCTTTTTCTTGAACTTTTAGTTCTTGGACATACTCATGAAAATACGCTTCTCGATCACGGATTTTTTCGATTGCACGAAATCGTTCATCTTTGCTGTGCTTCGATGAGAATTCGGTAAACGTTGTTCTAAATAGAATATTCCCATTTAGTCATTTGACAAATGCAGTAATCAAGGAAGCATACTTAGTTGAAACGTTCGATTCTTTTAGTAGATCACGGAACTGTTGCTTTTTTAATTTTAATTTTGCTTCGATTTCTCGTCGTTCTTCATCGGCACGTTCTAAACAGATCATATCTTGTATTTCGTATGCGACAACTTCTTTTTCTTCTAACCATGCGTGTAACGATCGTATTCTTGTTTGCGCTCTTTCGCTGTCAATAATAGATACCGTGGATCGGAACTGATCTTGTTCAGTTCCTGTTCCCATGTCGCAAATGCACTGACTTGTTTTTCAGCGAGCATTTCGCGAAATTGCTTTATGCGCGCTTCGGATGAAAGTGATTCGCGTAATTTACTTGCTTTGGCTTCGGCATCCTGCACTGATTCTTTAGCAACGTTAACAGAACGATCACTCAACGTTTGGACTAGTTTTATTTCGTTACTGATGGTTTCATTACTACTTGAAGTGTTCAATGTAGGAGTTGCTTCTGATCTGAAATAGAAATGGCAAATGAGAAGGAAGATGCAGTGATAAATTTGGCGTACTTGATTTTCTTGGCTTCGTGTTCGGTGTCATCGGAAATCGAATCTAATTTTTGCTTGGTTGATGTTGCTGTACGAGTGCTTTCAACTGACTCCTGCTGAGATAAAGCTGCGCGAATCATTTCATCGACGTCCATTCGACCTAGCACGAATTTCTGAAAAACTCTAGAAGATTGATGAGAAATATTTACCTTTCAGCTCTTCCGGTCGATCCCACAGTGATGTGCGTGAAGTTGGATTGAAGAAAAAGACTTGCTGATCGGTTGTCCATACGATACACCTGAAGAAAAGAAGCACAGGATAAAATAACCAGATTTATTTTAGTCCACCTACCATGGAGTACCAGGAATCGGCTTCGTTGCACTCGGTCTGGATTTGCCTTTGGATTTATCATCTAATTGATTGCGATCTAACAGTAATGGTGATTCACCCTACGAAAAGCAATAGGTTTATTTTCTGTGAAATCTGATCGCACTCTGTGTGGAAAATGCTTACGAAACGTCGTGCTTCATTGTTATCCAATTTTTCTAATGTGAAACCATTTAGAAATGTAGGTATTGGAGCTGCTTGTGGCTGTTGTGATTTATCACTGGTACTCGTTGCTAGTGCTGCGTTTGAGACTTGACTTTGTTCACTTTCAAGTCGTTTAACTTCTTTTTCTGACTCATGAATGGTTTTGTTAATATGTTCAAGTTGATTTTGGAAATCTAAATGGAACGAAAACACAAATGTTCGTTCCCTGCGAACTTAAGAACTAATTTGATCGTTACCAATCACATCATTGAGAACAATTGGTTTATCCCATGTTGACTCGGTTGTTTTTGTATTATAAAAATAAGCTCGGCCTTCAGCATTCTTGAATTCTGACCAAACGGCTGCTTCATTATTGATTTTCTCCATCTTCTCTTCTACTTCTTTCAATTTGACGCGTAACTAAATGTAGACCATTGGAATCAACGAAGTAATGACATTGGCAACACTTACTTTGCGTAGTTCTGTCTGAAGTGTTTCTAGATTTTTACCGGCTGTTGCTGTCTGTGGATTCAGAAATGGTGGCATCATAAACCGAAGTAAATGAGCTGGCGGTGGAATCGAACTAAAACTTGGAAAACCTAAACAAATTCGGATGAACGTCAGCAGTCGAATTGATTCGCGTGAAAACTAACCATTTTGCATCATTTGAGCCATGTGTGGCAATAGATGTGGTGGAAGTGCTCCGAATGGCATTCCTAGTGAAGGCGGTGGATATGCATATGGATTGAAATTACTTGGTGGTTGCTCCGCTGGCGGTAATTTCATTTCTTCGATTGCTGTTGATGGCTTATCACTTATGTCTGTGTCTTCCGACGGTGATACAATCTTCGTGGAAGTTTCTGTTTGATTTGCCAGTAATTGATCGAGTTCATCTTGCGACATAACTCGTTGCCCTTCTGGCTTCGTCCATGTCGACTGGCGAGTTTTCGCATTGTAATAATAGATCTTTCGAAAGAAAGAAAGAGGTAGATATGAGCATTGCATGCGAGAGATACTTACACGGCCATCGCGATTTTTGTATTCGACCCATAGTTTATTCAAATCCAACGATGAAGAGTTTTCACTCATTTTAATTGTTCTTTCAGAAGCAAAATACAATCAATTTTAGTGCCTTTTGTTATTTGTTTCTTTCTGTCGATTCCCATTGGTAAGAGTTCTGAGCCAATCGATGCACACTATGGATAAAATATGGATTGCCATTGACGGTGAATGCTAAGATGACAGATACGTTCATTTATTCATGTTACGTGACCAACCACCCTTCATTCAATGTCTCCTAGGTATGATTACCCAAAAATTCTATTCGAAAGAAGCACTGTGACTATCTCCTAGGAACAGGATTCACATGGTTTGTGACAGCAGCAGGCGCTGCTCTCGTATTTATATTCAAATCTGCCAATGTAAGTTTGATTGAACATATTGAACATGCATATTTTTTATAACTTTCTAGCAAAAGTTACTTGACTATAGTCTCGGCTTTGGAGCTGGAGTGAGTTTAGTTCATTTTTTACTATAGAAAATTCAGATATTTCTTATCTATTCGTAGGTGATGACAGCTGCATCGTTCTGGAGTTTACTTGATCCCGCATTTCGAATAGCTCGTGAAGAATCTCATATCGATTATCGCGTGAATTTTTGCTTAATTATCCTTGGTTTTCTGTTTGGCGGATTGTTTGTTCACATCACTGATCTCTTATTACCGTCGATTACGTCCAAGCAAGTGTTTCAAGTAATCTCGAATAAGAAGACCGATGAATACAAGATAAAAAAGCCCAACGACGCATGTTCAACTTTAAAAATGAATTCCGCTGTGCGTTCGCGATTGAAACATAATCAAGATGGGAAAAATAGATTTCACACTCCGATCGGAGACAGTCCAATGGATGAAAGTAAAAACTTTATTGAGAATAACGAAGAACAGGCGAAATGGCATCGATTACTGCTGTTAATAATTGCTGTCACCGTACATAACTTTCCAGGTAAGAGAAGGAAAGAAAAAATTCAATCGGATTCTGTTTCATTTAACCGTGATAATTATCGTAGAAGGCTTGGCTGTTGGCGTCGGATTTGGATCAATTTCATCGTCAAATAATTCCACATCAGCCTTTAACCAAGCTCGGTGAGTGTCCGATGGCCCCACCAAAATAATAATCCTCTTCTGTTCTCAGCAATTTAGCAGTCGGTATCGGTATTCAAAATTTCCCCGAAGGTATATACATTAAATTTCCATCCTGGCACATACGACTCCGTTAGCAGCTAAGAATAGAATTATTTCGTCTGTAGTGTCAAAATGATGTTTATCTGATGTTGTTCGATGAGAACGAAAGAACTGTGATGAATTATTAATCCAGCTTGATTAGCCTTGAAAGTTAATTGTTATAAATTATAGACGCCAACTTTTTCTTACACGCACGACGATTCTGTCGTGATTCCGGTTTGTAATCAGATTCAGCTAGTTTCTTTGTTTAATAATTATTTCAAGACGTGAAAGTATCCATCTAGAAAACAAGAAGAACAACATGGTAAAAATTTACATATGAAAGGACATCTGCGACAGAAAATCACGACAATACTTGTCTAATCAAAGCAGCTGTCAAAATTGCCTAGATTATCTAGTGCTTTCTTTTCAAGAAGATATAATTGAATTTGTTCAGTCTTCGAAACTTGTCATAATACATTATTAGAGATCAATCTAAACATGCTATGTCATACACAAAGCATTCATGTCATGGGTAAGATTGCAATAAAGTCGACTTGTTCTTTTGTTCGATAGAATAATAATCTTCTATGAATGATAGAATTCTTTTTCATTTTCCTTTCAGAATTCTTGCGGGAGAACAGCTTCTTCCGCACACATCTTATTAGTCAGTGCTAAGAGATTCCACGTATTACTAGAAAAGACTGTTCTCTCCTGTGCACCACGAATAATCTAAAGAGAAAAGAATCTTTTTAGGATTGGCCATAAGTCTACCATTACGTTCATTTGGTATTGGACCTGGCAAGGCATTTTGGTTCGTTTGATTGAAAGCTTCGTGTAGGGGGTTATTGTTAGTTTTTAGGTATGGTCAATTGAGCGGATTGGTAGAGATTGTTGCAGGAATTCTCGGCGTGTGTTTTGTTCAACTAGCGAATTCTTTATTACCGTTCGCACTCTCGTTTGCTGCGGGTGCAATGTTGTTCGTTGTTTTCAATGAGATCATCCCGGAAATTACTTCGTAAGTTTGATGAAACGATAATTTCATCAGTTCTGTTTCGGCATTTTCTTTAGCCAAAACCGAACGATGTCGTCTTGGTGGTTGATGGGTATGTGTCGAGCTTTGTACTTGAACAGAACTTTTTACTAAAGAAAATACTTTGTATTCTAGGTGGATTTACAGTTATGATGGCATTAGATGTTGTATTTAATTGACGAAATGATTTGTCTTTCAATATGTCGCGAATCGTGTTTTTCTGTGTGAAATGTTCTCGTCTTTTATTTCTATTCATTTTCCCCACGAACAAAATAACAAATTTGGTTATGAAGTATTTATTCGACAACAATTATTTGATGTGCTTTTTTTCAGACTAAACACGGTAGAAACAATCGACATTGTCTTTTCATCCTTTCCAACAACTTTCAAGTCAGTTCAGCGATGCTTTCTACGAAGTCTGCCTGAACATTGCATATATTTGAGAAAAAACCTCTCGTAATCGGTAAAATGTTTTCCTCAGATTTTTTCTATGTCTCAATTTCCTTCGAGGAAACTATACTTAGGGTAAGTAAAACATTTCATATTTATTGCTTTTTCAGAGAATAGCTCAGCATAGGAAAAGCAAATTAATACTGCATTTACACACTTTTTAACTAATGAAATGAGTCCCTTTCGGAAATAGTACATCCTAATTAACTTAATCTAATACTTCTCCGTCTGACCGGAATTTGTTTGTTAACGATCGATTCACAGATAAAGAACAGTAAAAACATTATTTTAGATTTCGTTTGACGAGTTTATCATGAGTGTTACACATTGTATATTCGATTTGGACGGTTTGCTATTAGACACGGAATCTATTTATACAGAATGTATGCAACAATTATGTGCACCATATGGAAAGAATTTTAGCACAGAAACGAAATTAGAAATGATGGGAAAATCAGCATTGGAGGCTGGACAAATATTGATTCGTGCGTTTTTAGTAAACGTTTGTTTCTTGGTAGAAATCTGTTCTTGTTTGTAGGAGAATTGAATTTACCAATGACAGATGAAGAATTTTTAGCTAAATCTAACGAATTGTATACTCAAGCATTTCCATCCGCTGAATTATTACCGGGTGCCGAGCGTTTGATTCGGCATTTAGCCAACTACAACATTCCTATGGGTATGAAACAGTATGTGCTCTTGTGAAATCTTTCTCTTTTATTTTTCAAGCAATTGGCACAGGTTCATCTCATGAATTATACACGTTAAAAATAAGTGGTCATCGAGAGTTATTCAAACTATTCGATCCGGTCATTTGTACCGAAACCAAAGAAATCCGTTTAACTAAACCCGAACCGGATATATTCCTTGCATGTGCAGAGAAATTCCCCAATCCGCCGATTTCCATGAGTCAATGTTTAGTATTCGAAGATGGAGAAAATGGCGTTCGAGCTGCCCTCTCAGCTGGAATGAGGGTCGTCCTGGTTCCCAGCTTACCATTAAGTAATTACGATCCGTGGATCTTGAAACATGTCACACTTAAATTGGATAGCTTGTTGAAATTCGATCCCGTGGAGTTTGGTTTACCTCCGTTTGATGATGTTTAAAAGAAATTGATTTTGTTGGTGTGTTCGATATTGTCGTTGTAGCTTTTAGATGTCAGATGTGCAATCACAATGCAATGTTTGCTCTGTCTTGTTTTTCTCAAATGTTGGTGTTTATATTCGGTTTTGTATCTTATTGTTGTGATAAACGAACATGAATAAATTCAAGTACAAAAAAGAATGAATGAATGTTTAAAGTGCGTGTGAACATGAAAAGAAAGAAAGCGCGTTTATAAAAGAGTGAAATTTCGCTCACGTCATCTCACACTTCTTTTCCGTTCACTTCTTTGTCTACCATTATTCTAATTTTCTAGAATTCTTTGCATTCTCCAAGCGAGCTATCAGCCAGTACGTGATGAACATTGCAAATTGGCAGAGTCTCGTTGAAGTTTACAAAGAAATAACGTTGTTGTTCTCTTCAAATTGACAATTCATTGTGAAATTTTATCCTTTCAGAAAAAAGTGCTTATTCTCTGGAACCTTTTTCGCGCTTCTTGAAAATATCAAAAAGAGCAATCATAAATAATATATAAGACTCAAGTAATTTCCTTGAGATGGATGCAAAAATTCTATACAGCAATGAAATCGCGAATAAAGGCCTTCTTAGTTCGAGGATACATCTTCGATGATGCATATCTTCGAAAGATGATTTGCTTATTCAGAATACGTGCACACTTTCTAAAAGTACACGCTAGTCTGGTTTCCAGTCACATAACAGTATTTATTGTCTTTAAAAGGGCAATGGCTGATGAATTCTTAAACTGTGCAATTGAAGTTGCGTTTTGTTTTAGTGTTTACTTCTTTTCTAATGATATGAAAAAAAGAGAAAAGCTTTTACTAAATTAAAATTTGTTTTCAAGTATTTGAGTGGAAAGCTGCTGCGTAGACATTAATGTTCAGAGAACAAAGGAATAGTTGAACGACGTCGTTGGCAGAAAAACTGAAAATAGGGAGTGAAATTTCTTCAAATTTATGACAATGGCAAATGTATGTGTCGATAAACTTCTTTTTTTATCCTTTCTGAAAAGTAATTGGAAAACAGAGAGAGAGAAAAAAATGAGAAATAAAAAAGTAAAAAGAGAAAAAATATTTTCTTATTTAAAAAACAAAACTTCATTTGCAGTCATTTGCGCGGAGGAGGTCCTACAAGTAAGATGAAATTGAACATAAAACAATGGAATGTGTTAATGGTCGTTGTGATAATGATCATAGCTGCTTCAGGTAAGAAACGCGAATTGAATTATCGGGTGAAACAGATTTTCCGAGTGACATTATTCGCCTGAGGAATCGATCGTGACAGATTCGAGTAACGAAATACTTTTGTAAAGATACGTGATGAGATGAAGAGGGTTGGAGACATTGAAAAACGGTGGAGAAAATACTATTCTTGAGTGCTTCGAAAATAAAAGTTTCTCATTCATAGCAATTTGAATATTTCTATCGTAATATAATCGGTCTGCTTCCTAATATTCACAAAAAACGTACTGCAACGATAATTTCGTTTGCATTTGTATATTTCTATTCAAGTGATTCCATCGGTTGGCGCAGTAAATGCTACTGTTAATGTTGATTACGTGAAACAAGGCAATTGCAACTCTTCCATTCTGGTCCGAGTTGGTAAGCGAAATAAAAGCAACTTGTTTGCATTAAATGAATATTTCCTCGTAGGGGATTACTGCGATTTTGTGGTGACAATAACCATCCCGTATTCGACGGGCTCAAGTGTTTCAACGGATCTTAGCGTGGAAATCATCATGCCAGATAATGATACTGCTGTTATGCAAGTATCAAAACCTCAAATAACATATGTCGGTAGTAATTTCGCCAACACACAGACTATCTATGATCCCTCAATAACGATGACATCAGCAATGAATACATCACAAGTATTGTTCGAATAGAAGATTATGAATTTTAGAATGATTAATTTTAGTTTAATGATGCTCGTATTGATTTTGGAACTGTAGTTAACAGTGGTTTATACGCACCGACTAACGATACACAAAGCGTCATTCAAATCGGTTTCCGTAGTGTGGTGATTAGCAATCCTTCTTATCAAACAAATGGATCTCAATATGTAAGTGCAAACAATGACTCAGTCGTCATCATCGGTCGTATTTCATTTTCTAGTGGGTCACTGTCGGTATCGAATATAACAATGTTTCGGAGATCTGGATCGGTCAAGCTTTGTTCATCTTTGCAAATGCTTCAGGAGTTCGTTGAAAATAATCATTTGGCATTATCATTTGTTTGATTCGGTATATCTTTGTATAGGGTACAATAGGTCCATTAAGTCTCGGCACAATTAACAACTCAACTTTACAGTTTGCACAAGGTTCACCATTCTCGGTAGCAGTTCCGGTCAATTACAATGCCACGTACGCGTCAAACTTTGTTTTCACAATTAAAAACAATAATCCATCGCAAATCGGGCTTTGTTCTGCTTACATTCAAGTAACGTATTCCAAATGAAAAGCTCTCTTCTAATAGTTCTCTTTTTTCAAGACTGCGAGCAGCGGTTTTCAACATTTACCAACATTAGGCTACGAAATATCAGTCAACTTAACATCCGCATTGGTAAACAATCAAATTACAATCACTCTTGGTCAAATTGTTAATACACGTATATAACAACTTTTACGTTCACATCATTTCATCAATTTGTATCTATTAATAGAATCGTATAGTGGATCATCATCAACTCTGTATATTACTGTTTACGGTCGTGTATTTAAAACCGATAGTGTCAGTTCATATATCGCTGGTACACTGACTGCTCAAGCAACGTCATCCAGTTCGACGGCATCACAAACATATTCAATTTCCGCGTTACCAAGTGTAGCCACATATGCTATTGTAAGTCATTAGTCTCTTTCTTTCATCGAAAAATATGAATTGAACCACGAATATATACAGAACGGGTCGTTACCAACATTCTCCATCACTCAACAAGCGACTTCAGTGGGCATCTATCAATCATTAGTAATGCAAGTAACAATGATTATTCCAAGTGGTTTTGTTGCGCCAGTCGTTATTGAATTGAACGGCGCAGGAAACTCTTCTACACCTTCATTGAAGTCATGTTCGGTACTAATTCAATCTGCTGGTGAAAATATGGCTGGTTCAAATCCTCAATGTGCTGACACAAGTATCTCTCGACGAACCTACTCATCAAGTGTTAATTCGACTATCTACGATCAACTATCGTATGATTACGGTGTGATACAAAATACAGGCGTACGTCAAAGTTCCTATTCTGATGACGTCAATACATTAGTGTAAATGAAAATAGAATTTGACTTTGAAGTTTTGCATGTTCTCTCTCTGATTAGATTTAATGCAATTTTTCAAGTGATGAATACAACTCAAACTGTTCTTTGGCCAACCGTGGCTATGACTTTGGGAAACAATACAATTTGGCTTGGAAATGCTGCTTATAATGTCACTCCTATCAGTTACAACTCAACAGTAAAATGAAAACTTCTTTTTCAAAGCACACCTACGGATCTTTTTCTCGTTTACAGTCGCTCACTCAACCAACTTTCAGCTTATCCTATGAAAACAATGTAACAACCAATCAATCAGCAACAACTTTGGGTTATACACGTTTATTCTATTACGATATCTTCACACAAGCAGGTGGCCTCTATACACCGATGACAGTACGAATCACAACTAATGAATCATCTCCTGGTAGCGGTCAACCAGCTGCAAGTATATGTTTGGTTCAAGTTCTCTCTGTCGGAACGAATCTTCCATGTTTAATACCAACATACTACAATCAACCTCAATCACCATTTATAACCTATGCTTCGAGGTGATTAAGATAACACGGCTGTTTTTAAAAAAAACTTCGTATTCCTATTATTGTAGATATAACCAACGGAAAAACGATACAGCTTATATTCAATTGGGTCCATTATGTAATTATCAATCCACACAAACGGATAGTTCTCTCGGTCAAATTCGCCTTGGTAAGAAAGCCGCATATTCTTTTACTTTTTTCACCAACTATTCTTCTCGAAAATTTTCTAGGAGTATATGTGAAAATTGAAACTGCATTAGGCGATGGACAATCCACATATGTTAGTCTTGATGTCTATTACGCCCCGACCAATATCTGGGTTGGACAAATACTTTTCTCTGGAAGTCAACTCGTTACTCCACCAAGTGTTATTGTATGTGAAGAAACTAGTTGACTAATCAAATAAAGCACATTCTTTTGTAGGGAACACCTTTAATGTTTGCATTGAACACTAGTACACAAGCGTACACAATAAATGGATTAACCGTTGCTAATTATGCTTTGAAAGTTCCATCTGGTTCTTACGGAGCATATTCATCATTGAACAGTGCCAGTAAGTAAAACGATAAAGAAAAACTATATCGAATCATTCGTCCCACCTTTCTCTATAATCTAGTTACTAATGAAGCCAATCAACAAACAAGTGTATGCAGGGTTGATATATCTCCACAACGTGGTAGTAATGTTCCATGTTCAAATGATGTCTCTTCGGTATTTACGTATAATACAAATGGAGCATCCGCAATAGCAACAACAAATCTTGGTTTAATATGTAGCGTTGGTTGTACGTACTCTCACTTGATTATCGTTGTTTTTCATTATGTTAAGTCTCTGATTTCTATCTAGCAAATACTTCAACCGTCAATGCATCATTATCAGTTGATTCAAATACAGTAATTATTCAAGTTTACCTCCTTGCGACAACACAATCGGCTTCTTCGTTCAATTTGCAATTATCGAATTTGGTACCATCTGGTCAATCGGCATTGGCATCCATAACATCATCATTTACTAGTGGTTCAACCAGCTCATTTGGAAATGTAAATAAAAATCTTTATTTTTCCTATATTCTAAAATTCTGTTCATTTAGCCATCAGCAATCAGCCCACTAAATGCCTCAGCCTATGAACAAATGAATGATACAAACAACGGCTCATTCGCTTACCTTGGCCAAGATGTTTCTATTCGTACACAATTC